GGCGTGCTGCTGAGTCTGGAGGTGCTGCTGGAGCTGGAGCTGGAGCTTCTTCGACCGTCGAGGGTGCGGGTGCTGTCGGTCCCGGAGCTGCTGGACCTGCGGGTCCTCCTGGAGCTGGAGCTGCTGAGGGCGTTCGTGCTGAGCCTACTGCTGTTGGTCCTGCCGCTGGAGGTGTGGGTGGCGCTGGTGCTGTCGCTGAGGGTGCTGGTGCTGTCCCTACTGAGTCTGGAGCTGCCGCGCGGCCTCGGCCGTACTTCGTTCCGCTCCTACAGCAGGTTCTTGGTCTTTCTCCTTCGGTAGAGTGTCCACAGCCTGTCCAGTCGCAGTCACTGTTGGAGCCTTCCTCTCCTCTGCCTGCTCCCTCTCCTTACACTGGTCCTACTGGAGGTCTTGCTGAGCGTCGTGAGCCTGCGTCTCGTCCCGCGTCGTCTGTTCGTGCTGCTCGCGCTAGTGGTCGCGGTTCGCGTCAGCGTCCTCCTCCTGTCCCTGGCACGCACCGGATGTCTCTGCGTCCGTCCACTGCTCCTCTGCGTGCCCCTTTGCCTTCTCCTCCTGAGTCCTCTCTTCCTGCTCTTGCCGACCCTGAGTCGGACTCTCTTCGTGCTGCCAGCCCTATTGTCACGCGTCTGCTTGCTACTGTCGTCACTGACCCCTCTTTTGAGTCCACTGCTGCGTCTGCTCTAGTCGCTGAGCTCGTTGACTTTGCTGCTCGCTGTCGTCTCGACTACGCTGCTGGTCTTGTTGCTGAGTCTGCGTCTGTCTGTCCTCCGTCCGTCGGGGGTGAGTGTGCTCTTGGCACGGACGTCCTAGAGGACAGACACGAGGAGTTACAGTGTCTGGCGGCTGCTTCACCTCATCTCGCGTCTGTACTGCTTGCCCCTGAGGGAGACCCGGATGCACTAGACATCCCGACTCCGCGTTCTTACGCGGAGGCCGTAGAGGGTCCCTACTCCTCTCAGTGGCAGGCAGCTATGGATGCAGAGATGGCTTCCTGGAAGTCCACAGGCACCTACGTTGACGCAGTTCCCCCTCCTGGGGCGAACATCGTCAGTGGCATGTGGATCTTCCGGGTGAAGCGGCCGCCGGGCTCTCCACCTGTCTTCAAGGCGCGGTACGTTGCTCGTGGCTTCTATCAGCGGCAGGGAGTTGACTACTTTCAGACCTTCTCTCCCACCCCGAAGATGACCACTCTTCGGGTGCTGCTGCACATAGCCGCTCAGCGCGACTACGAGCTTCACTCTCTCGACTTCAGCACTGCGTTCCTGCAGGGTAGCCTGCACGAGGAGATCTGGCTGCGCCGTCCACCTGGCTTCACTGGGACTTTCCCTCCTGGCACCCAGTGGAGCCTCCGACGGCCAGTCTACGGTCTCCGCCAGGCACCGCGTGAGTGGCACGACACACTGAGGACTACGCTTGCGGCTCTTGGGTTTGCTCCTTCTACTGCTGACCCGTCGCTGTTTCTGCGCACCGACACTTCACTGCCGCCGTTCTACATCCTCGTGTACGTCGACGACTTGGTCTTTGCCACAGCGGACACTGCTGGACTCGCCTACGTGAAGTCCGAACTGCTGAAGAGACACACGTGCACAGACCTGGGTGAACTGCGCAGCTACCTTGGCTTGCAGATCACTCGGGACAGAGCACGCCGCACCATTACCTTGACTCAGTCACACATGGTGCAGCAGGTCCTTCAGCGCTTCGGCTTCACGTACTCCTCGCCTCAGGCCACTCCTCTGCCTACTCGCCACTCACTCTCAGCTCTGCCTTCGGATGAGTCCGTAGAGTCGAGTGGTCCGTATGCAGAGCTTGTTGGCTGCCTCATGTACCTGATGACCTGCACACGACCTGACCTTGCATATCCTCTGAGCATTCTTGCACGCTATGTTGCTCCTGGGAGACACAGACCAGAGCACATGGCTGCAGCGAAGAGGGTATTGCGCTACCTGTGCAGTACGTCGGGCATGGGGCTTGTGCTTGGAGGGCGGAGTCCAGTGGTCCTTACCGGCCACGCGGACGCTTCTTGGGCTGACGACCAGGCTACGCAGCGGTCGTCACAGGGTTACACCTTCAGCCTTGGTTCCGGCTCTGTCTCGTGGCGGTCTACTCGCTCGTCTTCGGTTCTCGGCTCCAGTTGTGAGGCTGAGATCTACGCCGGGGCCATGGCTGCACAGGAGCTTCGCTGGCTCACCTACCTGCTGACTGACCTTGGAGAGCCGCCTCGTTCTCCTCCAGTGCTGTACGTAGACAACAAGGCCATGCTGGCCTTGTGTCGAGAGCAGCGCTTGGAGCACAGAACGAAGCACATTGCTCTCCGCTACTTCCTTGCTCGTGAGCTGCAGCAGCGTGGTCAGTTGCGACTTGCATACGTGGCCTCTGAGGCCAACACTGCTGATGTGTTCACCAAGGCACTCGCGCCTTGTGATCATCAGCGCTTTTGCACCCAGCTGGGTCTTGTGTCTGTCTTGCCTCACTTGCTCTCCTCTTGACTTTAATTGTACTGTGACATATATATATACCTGCTCTTGCTTGTCTAGTTTTATATATATGTCTGTACTCCTGCATGTGAACTGGCCTCTGGCCCTGCTCTTGTGCTCGGACTGTGTGGTGACTTTGTGATCCACCCTGAGCTTGCTTTGCTTTGCTTGGCTGGTCTTGTGACCCCTTGTTCTCCCCCACTTTGCCTATGGGGGTGTGTCAAACATTATATATGTTATACTTGTGTAGGCTACAGTGGGTTAGCCTATAGGGGGTACACAATTCTAGGGTTTACTACTTGTACTCTTTTCACTTCTAGTTGATTCATTCCTGTTCGCTTATTCTCACAGAAGTCTGGATCAAGGTCTGGAGGGTGTGTCCAGTTGGTGAAGTTGACGATGGCGTCGCTGTCGGCGGTGCCAAGGTCAGGAACGAAATCAAGAACGAGGACGTTGTTCTTGAGGACCGCCTTGCCGATGTAAAGTCCTCCTCTCCCGTGATACAGCTTGAATTCTTGGGTGGTGCTGTCTGCTTCGAGGTGAATCCCCTTCGCCATTAGCTGACTGACGTTGAAGCTTGAATCTGAGTCGTGGGATTTACTTGCGTTGAGGCGATTTGGCTGCTTGAAGGTTGAAGTTGCCGTTGTGGGGTTGTTGACAGTTGACGATTCGGGCAGTGTGTACGCGGGTGTCCTGAAGTTTTGCAGATGTGGCAGAACGGATGTATTGGCTTCGGTTGTTGCTGCCGGTTGTTGTTGTTGTTGTAGCGTCGCTGGGTGTGGAACGCGAATTCCGGTGCTGATGTCTTCTTTTTGTGTCGTTCTTCTTGCAGGTCCATGTCTTGTTGCTCGGCGTGGATTTCGGCGCAGAGCGCTGCTTCGGAGATTCTTCCGTGAGCTCGGAGGATGGCCTTTGTGGCGCGCCATTGAGGACCGAGGCCGCCGATGATGACTGTCACGAAGGCGTCTTCAGAAATCGACCCTCCGCATCGAAGAAGCTTGTCGCGCAACTCACGACATCGACTGATATACGCCATTCCTTTCTCCCCTGGTTTCATTTCAACCGTTGTCAGTTGCGCCATTAACCGACTTTGACCTACGCTGTCTGTTGCTTGATACAGGCTCTTCAGGTGGTTGTACGCGAGCTCCGCGGAGTTGCCGTAACCTCGGTAAGTCCTTATGTTCTGCTGTTGAGTCGGGGTGATGTTTCTCAGTAGGATCGTATACGCCATCATTGACTGATAGGTGTACTGCTGCTTCTCGTACTGTGTGCTGTTTGTTGGGTATGGCAGAGACCCGTCGAAGAACCCGAGTATGTGCGCGCCTTCCATCATCAGCTCGAACTCGAACGACCAGGTGAAGAAGTCCTTTCCATCGAAGGGTCTTGACGTCTGCATCTTCAGAACGTGAGCGAACTGCGACTGAACTTGCAATGCGTCCAGTGGTTTTTCTTGTCCAGGTGAGGGCTGTGGGTGTGGCATGAAGCTGATGGACCCGCGCTCGTACGGAGCAAAGGTAGGCTGCTGTTGTTGATTTCCTCGTGCATATGATGAGCCGTCGAGACTCATGGGTGTTGCTCCGTTGTTGTTGCTGTTGTGTGACCGCGCAGGTGCTGATTGCTGGTGTTGCTCGTAGAAGGACATGAAGGAGAAAAACTTCTCCATCATGCTCTGGTGAAGTCTGCAGGTTGATTCGCGGGAGTCTTGGTAGATGTTCCTCTGGGTCTTGCTGCCGTGCCCTCCTCTGTCTGTAGGCCAGAGGTAGGAGGTGGAGTAGGAGTAGTTCCCTGGGAGCCGTTGGAGTTGCTCCTTTCTTTTTGTGTAGCCATGCTGATTGATACTCTTGGTATAGAAGTTGAATTCCCCCTGATAGCTCTCATACCATGTTGGGCTGAAAAAGGCCCTTAGGATCTTTGCAGGGGTGAACTCTGGGTAGAGTTGGTGTAATAGCGGAAGCGTTAATAAAGTGTTGTGAACCACCTTGCGCTAGTATGTGAGAGCAAAGCAAGTTAATTAAAACAAGGAGATACAAGATTATACATGAATACAGGGAATATGGAAAAACACAGTTATAACTACTTTATTGTTGCTGTTGCGGTTCGATACAGTGACGACTCGGGCAACTGCTCTGTAACGAGTCAGTTGTGTGTCCTTGCTGTCGCGCTGTACTTGTCAGGTCAAAGGTCACTGACCTTTGACTTTCGCGTAACCTCCAGCGGTTACTTCAACCTCCGAGGGTTGACTCGCTGGTTCCTCGATATGCTTTGCTTCGCTTGTGCCTTAGTGTTTTGACACGACAGAGGCGCTTAGGACCGATTGTTTCCAACAGTCTACACCCTACCCTAATACTGTCAGGCTAACCATAGATCCTATCAGGGTAAAAAAAAACATGCTCTTTTTGCAAAGGGTAACTTTCGTGGAATCCTGATTTTGGCAGGGTAATCTTGAAAAAGCGGCCTGACCCCAGGGTAATCAGGGCGTTTTACCCTGATATTTTGGGCCCTGGTTCGTAGACAGCTCGATGGCCCTTAGCCCGAATGCACCATGCGTTCAGCCCTCATAACATCGGCATCAATCTCTCTGGACCACTCCGGAAGCTCCCGGAACTCCAAAAAATGTGCAACAACCCCCAAAATCCGGGGATCTCTGAAATACGCCCCATGATTCAGGTCGAACTTACCCGTGAGCTCTGAGAATCGGTCCTCAATCATCACACACAGCTGCTTAATCTGCCGAACAAACTGCTGCGGGGTAAGGCGCGGGTTCTTCCACATCTTGTTAATTTCCGGCTCAAGACATTGGTAAGTAAGACACTTAGCAGCAGCTTCATCCAGCTCCTTATCATCCCATAAATACTCGTAAAGCAACTGCTCCTGTCCACGTGTCTTCCCCTCCACCTCACTCTCTCTTGGCTTCTCAGAGGAAGACCCTCGGCTTTCACTGAGTGGCAGGAGTGGGAGATCAGGAGTGTGGCAAGTCGCCACAGCCGTTACATCTCGACCAGTTACATCTCCGCGGGTTTCATCTCCATGGGTTTCATCTCCCCGGGTGTCGTCACCGAGCGTCCTCCCGCTCTTGAATGTAACGCGCCGACGCAGCCGGCTCGCGCTGCGCTGCCATTGGCCGGCAGAATTGCTCAAGCACGGGTCTAGAGTCGGACAGTAACGGCTGTCTTTGTCCTTTTCTTCCCCTGACGCATTGTCACCTGCTACAGCTTCTGTACCTGCTACAGCCGCTGCTGCGCCTGCTACAGCTGATGCCGGCTCTGGTGCTACTGTTGCTGCTCGCCCATTCGCCCACCCTTCCCCCTCCCCATCCCCTTCAACACCTTTACCCTTTCCTTCACTCTCACCCTTCATCCTCCCCTCCTTCCCTCCAGGTTCCCCCTTTGCAAGTACCCCCTCCCCGAGTAGCCCCTCCTCAAATACAGCCTCCCCCATGTCACAGGTGTCATCCTCATACCCCGCCATCAGCTCCCCCTGCAAAGAGCGCGTCTTGGCCAGCGCCAGAAGTTTCTGAGAAGGAGAACGGAAGGGGGAGGGAAGGGGGGAGGGAGGGAAGTGCGCCCCAGGTGGAGCACCTCATGCATAAACACATGAGCACCTCATGCATAAACACATGAGCACCTCATGCATAAACACATGAGCACCTCATGCATAAACACATGAGCACCTCATGCATAAACACATGAGCACCTCATGCATAAACACATGAGCACCTCATGCACAAACACATGAGCACCACATGCACAAACACATGAGCACCACATGCATAAACACATGAGCACCTCATGCACAAACACATGAGCACCTCATGCACAAACACATGAGCAAAGCTCAACTTGTTCTGCACCCACCATCCCTTCACCTGCACCCACCATCCCTTCACCTGCACGTTCCAGTGCTCCACATGTTGGGACGACAGCCCCAGGTCGAGAGTCCAGAACCCCCATTCCCCCACCCAACCCACCCACCCCACCCAACCGTCCCTCCCCTGCACCTTCCAGTGCTCCACGTGCCGCGACGATAACCCCAGGTGGAGCACCTCCTCACCCCCTCACCCCCTACCCTCACTCCCTCACCCCCTATCCTCACTCTCCCACCCCCTCACCTGCAAGTTCCAGTGCTCCACGTGTTGGGAGGAGGGCCCCAGGTGGAGCACCTCGTCCATGAAGACATGAGCAGAGCAGCACACACACACACACACACACACACACACACACACACACACACACACACACACACACACACACACACACACACACACACACACACACACACACACACACACACACACACACACACACACACACACACACACACACACACACACACACACACACACACACACACACACACACACACACACACACACACACACACACACACACACACACACACACACACACACACACACACACACACACACACACACACACACACACACACACACACACACACACACACACACACACACACACACACACACACACACACACACACACACACACACACACACACACACACACACACACACACACACACACACACACACACACACACACACACACACACACACACACACACACACACACACACACACACACACACACACACACACACACACACACACACACACACACACACACACACACACACACACACACACACACACACACACACACACACACACACACACACACAACACACACACACACACACACACACACACACACACACACACACACACACACACACACACACACACACACACACACACACACACACACACACACACACACACACACACACACACACACACACACACACACACACACACACACACACACACACACACACACACACACACACACACACACACACACACACACACACACACACACACACACACACACACACACACACACACACACACACACACACACACACACACACACACACACACACACACACACACACACACACACACACACACACACACACACACACACACACACACACACACACACACACACACACACACACACACACACACACACACACACACACACACACACACACACACACACACACACACACACACACACACACACACACACACACACACACACACACACACACACACACACACATACGGTACTGAGTGCTGTTTCTGCTGCCTTCAGCAAGGGAAATCCTTACACACACACACCCCTGCCCACCCACCATCCCCTCACCTGCACGTTCCAGTGCTCCACGTGCTGCGAGGAGAGCCCCAGGTCGAGATTCCTGAACCCCCATTCCCCCACCACCCACCCACCCCACCCCACCCCTCCACCCAACCCTCGCAGCCGTCTCTCACCTGCACGTTCCAGTGCTCCACGTGTTGGGAGGAGAGCCCCAGGTCGAGAATCTCGTCCATGAAGACATGCGCAAAGCTCAGCTCGTTCTGCGCGAGCCCGAAGCTGATCACCACAATCACGTTCCTCACCGCGCCTATCACCAGCGGCGCCACGATGTGTGACAGTAACGAGAGGATGAGAGCAGGGAGGATGAAGATGATGTTCCAGAGGAGAATGCGGCCGAAGGATGCGATGTAGAGCAGCCAGTCGAGAGGCACGGCGTCGTGAGGTGGGAACTGGGGGAGGGGCTTCCAGAAGGGCAGCTTCAGCATGTTCGCCAGGTGCGGGAAGACATAGGCTCGGGCGATAGGCTCGGAACTCAGTGCCATGCTTGCCTGTTTTGTTGGTTCGCAAAAGGTGGGGGGCCGGAAAGGGGGGGAAAGGGGAAAGTGTAGAACGAGGAAGATTGGGGAAGCGGTTTGATGCGGTACAAATAGCATGGCCTGGGTAGGGTGTTAGCGTTAGCTCTCAATCCCAACTTTTGTACTTGTAATTTTGTATCCTAGTTTAGTGTAGTTTGTAGTTTGTGTGCTTTGGGTGCACACCCATATCTCCAACCCACCAATTGGAGATTTCACCCGATCACATTGGGATTGCCCCGATCTCCCCCCCCCTCCTACATTCAGTGCTCATTTCCAATGTACTCAAGATCCTTGAGCTCAACCCATGGGAAGCAGAATCATGCTCTCTTCCCTCATCCAGCAATCTCCCCTCGTCGAATCTCACCCCATCCAATCTCACCGCATCCAATCTCACCCCATCCAATCTCACCGCATCCAATCTCACCCCATCCAATCTCACCTCATCCAGCTTGCCAGCGTGGACAACCAGTGCTGACATGGCATGTGACCAATCAAAGTCCGGCGAGTGGTAGATGTTTCCGCTGTAGAAGGCAGTGCTGCGGGACAGCTGGAGGGATGAGGGGTGCAGTGCGGTGATGAGAGGTTGCATCAATAAGAAGAGAGTTAGAGCTTGGAAAAGCAGGTCAGTCGGGCGAGTGGTAGATGTTTCTGCTACAGAAGGCTGTACTGTGGGACACCTGGAGTGGGTGGGAGATGATGGAAAGGGGTGGTGCAGTGCGGTAATAAGAGGTAACAAGAGGTTGCTGTAATCAGCAGTAGATGTTTCCGCTGTCGAAGGCTGTGCCGCAGGACACTTGGAGAGGTGCAGTGCGGTAATGAGTGGTTGCAGTAACAAGAGGTTGCTGTAATCAGCGGTAGAGGCTGTGCTTCGTGGACCCTGGAGGGGGGGGACGATGGGAAGAGGAGGTGCAGTGCGGTGATGAGTGGTTGCAGTAGTAAGCGGTGTAGTGCAGTCACTGGAATTTCGGTGTGGCAATATTGGGTGCAGTGCAGGGCAGTCACAAGAGGTTGAGTGCGGTGATGAGCGATGCAGTGCATCGCAGTGGGCAGCATACCTCGATGCTGATGCTGATGGTGGCAAAAGTGAGAGTGGGAGCCGACCGAGACAACAAACGGCTTCAAGTAGGGTAAATTCGGCTCTGACAGGGTGGTGCAGTGCGGTAATATGAGGTGCGGTGCAACACTGGGCAGTATACCTCGATGCTGATGCTGATGGTTGCAAACATGAGAATGAGAGTCGAGGCAATGAACGGCATGAAGTGGGAGAAACACGGTCTGACAGGGTGGTGCAGTGCGGTACTAAGAGGTTGTGGTATGGTTTGGTGCGGTGAGAAGCATACCTCGATGCTGATGCTAATGGTTGCAAACACGAGGATGAGAGCCGAGGCAAGGAATGGTGTGACGTAGGGGAATGCGAATCTGATGGGGTGGAAAGGGAGCAGGAGAGAGAGGGAGGAGGAAAGGGGCGGAAGGTTAAGAAGATGAGGGCCGAGGCAAGGAATGGCGTGACGTAGGGGAATGCGAGTCTGATGGGGTGGGAATGGAGCGGGAGGAAAGGGAGGAAGGAAGGAAGGACTGTTGAGATGGGATAGGTAAGGGATACCCCGTTTCAAGAGGCTGCCTACCTCTGCCATGCTGGTATGACAAGCAGCATGGGATGACATGCAGCATGGGATGAGAAGCAGCATGGGATGACATGCAGCATGGGATGAGAAGCAGCATGGGATGAGAAGCAGCATGGGATGCGAAGCAGCATCAGCAGTGCACACACCCATTTACTCACACACACACCCATTTACTCACACACACCCATTTACTCACACACACCCATTTACTCACACTCCCCCATTTACTCGCACACCCACTCACCACCAGAATCAGCTCCACGCTACAATGCACCCGCCAAGGCAAGCGCAGCATGGCATGGCAAGCAGCATGGCATGGCAAGCAGGATGGCATGGCAAGCAGCATGGCATGACAAGCAGCATGGCATGACAAGCAGCATGGCATGGCAAGCAGCATGGCATGACAAGCAGCATGGCATGACAAGCAGCATAGCAGGACAAGCAGCATGGCATGACAAGCAGTAGCACCTTGGGACTTCTCACAGCTCACACAGACCCGGCACCCACTCACTCACTTCTCGTGCCCGACAATGCTGCGAGAAACACCATTCCGCACTCCATTCTTCTCCCACTTCTCGACATAGAAGGGCGTGCCCAGGAACAAGAAACACCCCGAGGGACACGGCATGTGAGGGCGGAAGGGAGAGGAGCAAATACCTTGCAGTTGCGTCCCAAACCACCACTCACTTCTCATGCCTGATAATGCTGCGCAGGATGCAGCCAATGGGGATGACGTAACCCCACATCACATCCTTCCTTCCTTCCCTCCTTCCCTCCCTCCACTCACTTCTCATGCCCGATAATGCTGCGCAGGATGTAACCAATGAGCATGACGTAACCCCACATCACCACCAGCATCAGCACCACGCTCCCCAGGGTCATCACCACCAGCCACCGCACTCCATTCCTTTCCCACTTCTTGACATAGAAGGGAGTGCCGAGGAACACGAGGCAGCCCAGGGCGTTGGAGAGAGGGGAGGTGGCGAGGCGGTGGGAGAGGAAGAGGCGCTGCCGCTTGGTAGGCAGGCCCAGGAGGGAGTCTAACCAGCGGTAGCGCCCCCAGGGGTACTGCTCCTTGGTGCCGTGGGAGAGCTTTCCGCCTGTCATGCTGTGAGGGAATGAGGGGGACAGGGGGAGAGGGGGAGGGGGGGAGAGGGGGAGAGGGGGACAGGGGCAGAGGCAGGGAAGAGATGAGAGGAGGGAGTGCGAGGCAGCAATGGTGACCCCAGGGGTAGGGCTCCTTGGTGCCTTGTAGGGCTCCTTGGTGCCTTGTAGGGCTCCTTGGTGCCTTGTAGGGCTCCTTGGTGCCTTGTAGGGCTCCTTGGTGCCTTGTAGGGCTCCTTGGTGCCTTGTAGGGCTCCTTGGTGCCTTGTAGGGCTCCTTGGTGCCTTGTAGGGCTCCTTGGTGCCTTGTAGGGCTCCTTGGTGCCTTGTAGGGCTCCTTGGTGCCTTGTAGGGCTCCTTGGTGCCTTGTAGGGCTCCTTGGTGCCTTGTAGGGCTCCTTGGTGCCTTGTAGGGCTCCTTGGTGCCTTGTAGGGCTCCTTGGTGCCTTGTAGGGCTCCTTGGTGCCTTGTAGGGCTCCTTGGTGCCTTGTAGGGCTCCTTGGTGCCTTGTAGGGCTCCTTGGTGCCTTGTAGGGCTCCTTGGTGCCTTGTAGGGCTCCTTGGTGCCTTGTAGGGCTCCTTGGTGCCTTGTAGGGCTCCTTGGTGCCTTGTAGGGCTCCTTGGTGCCTTGTAGGGCTCCTTGGTGCCTTGTAGGGCTCCTTGGTGCCTTGTAGGGCTCCTTGGTGCCTTGTAGGGCTCCTTGGTGCCTTGTAGGGCTCCTTGGTGCCTTGTAGGGCTCCTTGGTGCCTTGTAGGGCTCCTTGGTGCCTTGTAGGGCTCCTTGGTGCCTTGTAGGGCTCCTTGGTGCCTTGTAGGGCTCCTTGGTGCCTTGTAGGGCTCCTTGGTGCCTTGTAGGGCTCCTTGGTGCCTTGTAGGGCTCCTTGGTGCCTTGTAGGGCTCCTTGGTGCCTTGTAGGGCTCCTTGGTGCCTTGTAGGGCTCCTTGGTGCCTTGTAGGGCTCCTTGGTGCCTTGTAGGGCTCCTTGGTGCCTTGTAGGGCTCCTTGGTGCCTTGTAGGGCTCCTTGGTGCCTTGTAGGGCTCCTTGGTGCCTTGTAGGGCTCCTTGGTGCCTTGTAGGGCTCCTTGGTGCCTTGTAGGGCTCCTTGGTGCCTTGTAGGGCTCCTTGGTGCCTTGTAGGGCTCCTTGGTGCCTTGTAGGGCTCCTTGGTGCCTTGTAGGGCTCCTTGGTGCCTTGTAGGGCTCCTTGGTGCCTTGTAGGGCTCCTTGGTGCCTTGTAGGGCTCCTTGGTGCCTTGTAGGGCTCCTTGGTGCCTTGTAGGGCTCCTTGGTGCCTTGTAGGGCTCCTTGGTGCCTTGTAGGGCTCCTTGGTGCCTTGTAGGGCTCCTTGGTGCCTTGTAGGGCTCCTTGGTGCCTTGTAGGGCTCCTTGGTGCCTTGTAGGGCTCCTTGGTGCCTTGTAGGGCTCCTTGGTGCCTTGTAGGGCTCCTTGGTGCCTTGTAGGGCTCCTTGGTGCCTTGTAGGGCTCCTTGGTGCCTTGTAGGGCTCCTTGGTGCCTTGTAGGGCTCCTTGGTGCCTTGTAGGGCTCCTTGGTGCCTTGTAGGGCTCCTTGGTGCCTTGTAGGGCTCCTTGGTGCCTTGTAGGGCTCCTTGGTGCCTTGTAGGGCTCCTTGGTGCCTTGTAGGGCTCCTTGGTGCCTTGTAGGGCTCCTTGGTGCCTTGTAGGGCTCCTTGGTGCCTTGTAGGGCTCCTTGGTGCCTTGTAGGGCTCCTTGGTGCCTTGTAGGGCTCCTTGGTTGTAGGGCTCCTTGGTGCCTTGTAGGGCTCCTTGGTGCCTTGTAGGGCTCCTTGGTGCCTTGTAGGGCTCCTTGGTGCCTTGTAGGGCTCCTTGGTGCCTTGTAGGGCTCCTTGGTGCCTTGTAGGGCTCCTTGGTGCCTTGTAGGGCTCCTTGGTGCCTTGTAGGGCTCCTTGGTGCCTTGTAGGGCTCCTTGGTGCCTTGTAGGGCTCCTTGGTGCCTTGTAGGGCTCCTTGGTGCCTTGTAGGGCTCCTTGGTGCCTTGTAGGGCTCCTTGGTGCCTTGTAGGGCTCCTTGGTGCCTTGTAGGGCTCCTTGGTGCCTTGTAGGGCTCCTTGGTGCCTTGTAGGGCTCCTTGGTGCCTTGTAGGGCTCCTTGGTGCCTTGTAGGGCTCCTTGGTGCCTTGTAGGGCTCCTTGGTGCCTTGTAGGGCTCCTTGGTGCCTTGTAGGGCTCCTTGGTGCCTTGTAGGGCTCCTTGGTGCCTTGTAGGGCTCCTTGGTGCCTTGTAGGGCTCCTTGGTGCCTTGTAGGGCTCCTTGGTGCCTTGTAGGGCTCCTTGGTGCCTTGTAGGGCTCCTTGGTGCCTTGTAGGGCTCCTTGGTGCCTTGCTGGGCTCCTTGGTGCCTTGTAGGGCTCCTTGGTGCCTTGCTGGGCTCCTTGGTGCCTTGTAGGGCTCCTTGGTGCCTTGTAGGGCTCCTTGGTGCCTTGCTGGGCTCCTTGGTGCCTTGTAGGGCTCCTTGGTGCCTTGCTGGGCTCCTTGGTGCCTTGTAGGGCTCCTTGGTGCCTTAAGGGAGAGGGAGAAGGTTGAGGGGGGGGGTGTGGCGGGAAGGCAGCAGCTTGCAGGCCTGCAGCCTGTGATGCTGGCATCTGGGGAGGGAGGTGACGTATGCCATTGTAACGAGTGAAGTATGCCATTGTAACGAGGTGAAGTATGCCATTGTAACGAGGTGAAGTATGCCATTGTAACGAGGTGAAGTATGCCATTGTAACGAGGTGAAGTATGCCATTGTAACGAGGTGAAGTATGCCACTGTAACGAGGTGAAGTATGCCACTGTAACGAGGTGAAGTATGCCACTGTAACGAGGTGACTTTTGAGTCGACTCAATAATGTGCTGTTATGTTGCGCTGTATTGCCTGCTTTATTCAATGAAGGACCATTCAAGCCTCACCTCTCCATTCCTCACCTCTCCATTCCTCACCTCTCCATTCCTCACCTCTCCATTCCTCATCTCTCCATTCCTCACCTCTCCATTCCTCACCTCTCCATTCCTCACCTCTCCATTCCTCACCTCTCCATTCCTCACCTTTCCATTCCTCACCTCTCCATTCCTCACCTCTCTATTCCTCACCTCTCCATTCCTCACCTCTCTATTCCTCACCTCTCCATTCCTCACCTCTCCATTCCTCACCTCTCCATTCCTCACCTCTCCATTCCTCACCTCTCTATTCCTCACCTCTCTATTCCTCACCTCTCTATTCCTCACCTCTCTATTCCTCACCTCTCTATTCCTCACCTTCTCATAGCAACAAGGGACGGGAAGAACCGGCGCCACCCGGAGGGTCGGTCCACCTGGCGCCACCCCTTCACCATATCAAATCCGCGCCTGTATGCCGCCCAAAACCGCTTCCTGATGGCCGGATGCAGCGTGGAGAGCGACAGTGTGGGCAGCCTCTTCATGTACTGGCGGGGGCGGGGGGGGAGGCAAGGGAGGGTGCAGTTGTGGGCTCTGCTAGTGCTCCTTCACTTCTGTGTGGGCTCTGCTAGTGCTCCTTCACTTCTGTGTGGGCTCTGCTAGTGCTCCTTCACTTCTGTGTGGGCAGCCTCTTCATGTACTGGTGAGGGGGGAGAGGGGAAGAGGGAAGATGTGCAGATGGGTGCAGATGGGTGCAGATGGGTGCAGATGGGTGCAGATGGGTGCAGATGGGTGCTGCTACTGCTAATCCTGCTCCATGGCCGGGTGCAGCGGGGAGAGGGACTGTGTGGGCAGCCTCTTCATGTACTGGTGGGGGGGGAGAGGGAAGGAGGGGGGAAGGTGGGGGGGGAGAGTGGGTTGAGGAGGGGAAGGGATGGTTAGTTGCCGGGTGCAGCGTGGAGTGAGACTGGTGTACTGGCGGAGGGGGAGGTGGGGTGCAGTTGTGGGCTCTGTTAGTATTCGTAACTGCACCTCTTCATGATAGGGGTGTTCCTTCAGTTTTGGTATCACCCAACTGCACCGAACTGCACCAGCCCTGCTGCACCGCCGGGTGCAGCGTGGAGAGCGACTGTGTGGGCAGCCTCTTCATGCACTGGCGGGGGGGTGGGGAGGGGTGGAGAGGGGCGGGAGGGGTTCGATGGGGGAGAATGGGTGGTTAGGAGGAGGGCAAGGGGCGCGGTATGGAGAGAGACCGGAAAGAAAGAAAGAAAGGGGTGGGGGTTGAAAAACCCACGTGCAAAAAGTTGCGTTGTGAGACGTCTCATAGCCGAACTTCTATCACGAGGTTTGAGGACGACGAGGGAGGAACGGAAGAAAGAAGGACGCGGGGGTTGGAAAAGGGTGGGAGAAGAGTGGGCGGTGCAGTGGGGGTTCGTAGTGCATTGAGGTGATTTCTGAGGCGCCTCAAAAATCACCTCAAAAACCGCCTCGAAAATCACCTCAAAAATCACCTCAAAAATCACCTCAAAAATCACCTCAAAAATCACCTCGAAAATCACCTCGAAAATCACCTCAAACAAAACCTCAAAAATCACCTCACAAATCACCTCAAAAATAACCTCAAAAATCACCTCGAAAATCACCTCGAAAATCACCTAAAAAATCACCTCAAAAATCACCTAAAAAATAACCTCACAAATCACCTCAAAAATCACCTCAAAAATCACCTCAAAAATAACCTCACAAATCACCTCAAAAATAACCTCACAAATCACCTCAAAAATCACCTCACAAATCACCTCAGAGTGGGCGGTGTGGTGGGGGTTCTTAGTGGCTCTGTGGCTTTCAAGTCACCATGTTCACACCTGAGACCTGAGCTTTAACTTGCGCCTGTGCTTTAAGCAGCACCCACGACTTCCCAGCTCCCATTGAAGACCTATAGAACCTGGGCTTTAGCTCGCACCAGGGCTTTAACTCGCACTCACGAGCTCGGTGGCTTTAAGCAGCACGTTGCCTCCGTGGGAGTGAGCGATCACGTGGATGCGCGCTGAGGGGTCTCTGCTGGCTATCAGGTCGACCAGCCGCGCCAGCTGTGTTGAAGAGGAGAGGGAGAGGGGGGAGGGGAGAGGGGGGGGTTGAAGGGGAGCAGGACAGTGGAGAGAGGAAGTACAGGGGTCTCTGCTGGCTATCCGGTCGACCAGCCGCGCCAGCTGGGGTGAAGAGGAGGGGGAGTGAGGGGAGGGGAAGTTTGGGGGGAGGAGCGGGATAGGGGAGAGGGGAAGTACAGGGGAGTAAACAGGAGTGAGCAATCACGTGGATGCGCGCCGATGGGTCTCTTCGAGCTAACAGGTCGAACAGCCGCGCCAGCTGTGCTGAAGAGGAGGGGGAGGGGGGAGTTAGATGAGCAAAAGGGGAGTAAAAGGGGGGGACAACACGGAAATGGGCAACGAGGACGCGCATGCGCGTAGAGGGGTGGGTGAGGAGCTATAAGTGGGACCATTGGTAGGGAGGTGCTGGAGGGGAGAGAATGGGAACGTGGAGACGAGGGGATGGAAGGAGCAAGAGAAAACCTCAGAGGGATGGAATCTGTTCTATAAGAATTCTCTCTAAACAGATTGAGCAAGAAAAGCATAGAGGGAAGGATCCGGCCAAACCCAAGGAAGAGAAAAGATCCGGACAAACCAGAAGAACCACTAATCAGTTGGCAAATACTTTCTGGATTTTTTTCCCAGTTTATAAGTTGTTTGAACTTAACAATTGGGCTTATTTTGCACCGTGCATACATTAAAGAATGCCTCATTTTTTCAACCGCATTCAACGCGCTGCCGCATTCAAGTGCCGGCGTGCCGCACGTTCTCCCAACCGCACCTTCTTCCTGCCTCACCGTCTCCACGCCTCAACTTTTCTGCCACCTTCAACCGCGCCTCGTGCGTGTTGCTTCCTCAGCCCCGCAATTTCAGCTCCTTCCTCCTCCTCGTTCCTGCCCCTGCCTCCTCACTGCCTCACCTTTTCTGCAGCCTTCAACCGCCCCTCGTGCGTGTTGCTACCGTCCCAGAAGAACGGGTAAGGCACGTCACCGTCCATCACGCGTTGCCATGATCCCCCCTCCTGCAACGCTGCAGCTCCCTGCGACTGCGACCCCCTCTGCGACGCACCTCCTCGCGACGCTGCCTCTTGAGAATCCGTCGCGCGCGGAATTTCCCGCCACACGCTCCCCGCGCCGATGGGTCCGCGCGCCAGCAGCGCGCCCATCTTGGCGCAGAAGTTCTGCTCCCCCGGCGCGGGCGGCTGGTACCACGTGCGCGAGCCGTCCGCGGGCGGCGCGTCGAACGTGCCGTGAACAACGATCACGTAGTCCGTCTCGCGCCGCGCGTTGTAATCCACGGTGCGAACTCGTACGTCGCCCGCCTCGACGTCGCTCGTTGCCGTGGATGCGTCGCAGGCGACGTCACCAGAGTCGTCAGGGCGAGAATAGGCGACGTCTTCCGAGTCGTTCTCGGCTGCCAGTCTTCGAAAGTCGTCGACATGACTGACCTCCCGCGGTTCACGCGGCATTCCCGAAGGAGATTAATTCGCGCTGGGGAGATATGAACACGTCAGCGCCAGAATTACACGCTAACGCTGGGCCAGAAGAGGAAAAAACTAACCAAAAACGTTGAAACTGCTCAGTTTCGGCGCCCCGCTGCACTGCTGTTGCAAATTGCACACGTTCCGTAACCAACCGAGTAGTGATGTTTCTAGCGAAGGTCGGTAGTGTATCAGTGTTTTGTTTTTTCACGCTACGGCTCGGCAATGTGAAGCTATGGTCGCCAGTCAGCTTTCTTGGGAAGATCAAGGTCGCCAGTCATGGTCGCCAGTCAGCCACTGTCGAGACTTTCTAAACTGGGACAGTTGAAGGGGGAGTTGGCGGTTTGGGAAAGTCTGGAAGATCAAGGGAGAATTCACGATTAAGAACCGAACAGTTTTTATCTCGTCTTAGTTCTTATCACACATTTACTACTATTCTCTTCTTACCGCATATCAGTAGACATACCCCGACGGACAGTCGACTCCGCCCCGAAAGAAAACTTCAGAATATTTCAACAAAAAAACTGACCATGGTCCGATTTAGCTGGGTTGATATAACTTCGATTCTTCCGACAAGTGAGGAAATAAAACAGCTAAGACCCTCTCAAATGCATGCTATCCAAAGTGGGGCGTCAATCCCAAATATCATGCGACAGTGCGTTTAAGGGTTAATGCCTCCCATGATTGCATGCCATTCCCTTATGAGATCTATGCCTCCCATGATTGTATGCAAATCCCTTATGAGGTTCATGCCTTCCATGGCTGTATTTTTTTTGCTCAGAGAAATAAGCTTGTTGGGCAGAGTTCGTTGTCGATTGAAATGTAATAAATGAATTTACCACCATATATGCTAGTTAACAGGTGCCACAACATCGCCAGAATTAAATTCTGGAGGCTTTGATAAGAAATCACAACAGCCGTCTCTGTTCCCATAATAACCAGGCGTGAGCTTGTTTTCAGTCTTCTTATGCTAGTTGCCTAGGCAGCAAATCACCGTCCGTTTTTGTTTGATTTTACATGAACGGAAGGGACATTACTCAGAAAGGTGTGTACATAAGGAAGTGTGATTCTGGCTATGTCCGTCGACAACATCCGTCAGTGCCCTATCTTCTGAAAAGGGGCACCAGAAGGTGGCGTGACGGGGTCGACGACATCCGTCCGTGAATAGAAGCGGCTCGACACGAGCTTTGACGGTTGTCAGAGCGTGTCAGAAGAATGGGCTTCATAACACTGTACTTCAGAATGTTTACCCACTTAAAGCCGTGGCCCAACTATCAGCTTCAACTTCGAAGTATTATAGCTTGGAACTTGGTTGTCCCAGGCAGTTCTGTGGCGAGAAGTTTGTCTTTTCCGAGATTCCATTTTTTTCATCCAATAAGGGTCTCGTTACGCACACTCCATGTTTGTCCTGCTACTGTTCCTAAGAAGTTGCACCCCGCCTTTAAAACCAGGGTCTCACGTAGATCAATTGTTTTGCAGTTGATGACTTGACCTTGGTTAGGATTGGATGGCGAGGTGTAAAGAATGACGAGGGGTGTGGCGAGGGGTGCGAAGGAAACACAAATCGCAGTTTGTGTCCGAGCCAACCAGGCACGGAAATTGGTTCGGTGCCAAAGCTAGAACACCAGCAATTTGTGCGAACATCCCGAAAGTCTCATGTACCAGGGAAATGTTTTGCAATTGCTTCAGAGGCAAAAACGTCGGGTTGTCGCACAGTCAATTGCCAGACCAATCCCTAGACTTCGCCACCTCAAACAGGGTGACTCAGCATCAATTGTTTTGCAGTTGACAATTTTCCTTACGTGAGACCCTCGTTCAAGAGCTATAAAAACAGCTATACTGCTCACCGGTTTAATTACACCAAATACCGTTTCCGAACGTGGTTGACCGTATTAACTCGCATCAAACGAACTCAGATATGTCCAACCCGCTTGTCGTGTGTGTATTCTAGTATTTCCACATGCGATTCCAGCGCCGGCGCGTTCGGCAACTTCCCGGCGCGGACTCATTTTCTTGGAAATGCCGCGCGAACCGCGGGAGGTACATCATGTCGACGACTTTCGACGACTGGCGGCCGAAAATGACTCCAGCGACGTCGCCAGCTCTCGCTCGGACGACGCCGGCGACGTCGCCTGCGACGCATTTACGACCACGAGCGACGTCGAGGCGGGCGGCGTGCGAGTTCGCACGGTGGATCACAACGCGCGGCGCGAGACGGACTACGTGATCGTCGTTCACGGCACATTCGACGCGCCGCCCGCGGACGGCGCACGCACGTGGTACCAGCCGCCCGCGCCCGGGGAGCAGAACTTCTGCGCCAAGATGGGCGCGCTGCTGGCGCGCGGACCCATCGGCGCGGAGAGCGTCTGGCGGGCGATTCCGCGCGCGACGGATTCTCAAGGTGCAGAGTCGCAGGGGGCAGAGTCGCAGGGATCTGAGGTTTTCAGGAGCGGGTCGCAGACGGGGCAGTCGCAGGGAGGTGCTGCGTCGCAGAAGGGGCAGTCGCAGGGAGGTGCTGCGTCGCAGAAGGGGCAGTCGCAGGGAGGTGCTGCGTCGCAGAAGGGGCAGTCGCAGGGAGGTGCTGCGTCGCAGGAAGGGGGCCAGTCATGGCAGCGCATGATGGACGGTGACGTGCCTTACCCGTTCTTTTGGGACGGCAGCAACACACACGAGGGCCGCGTGAAGGCTGCAGAGAAGGTGAGGCAGGGAGGAGGTAGGGCAGGGAGAATGGGGAGTAGGGGCAGGGAGAATGGGGGGGCAGGAAGGGACAGAAGGAAGGCAGAGAGGGAGAGAGGCGAAGCAGGGAGGAGGCAGGGCAGGGAGAGTGTCGTGGCTCGTTCCCCTGTTCTCTTTCCCGTTTTCTTCAACACAGCTTGCTCGAGTGTCCAGCTCCTTAGCACGAATCCACGTCATTGCCCACTCCTGTTTACTCTCCTATTTGCTTCCCCTCTCCGCCCCATTTGCTTCCCCTCTCCGCCCCATTTGCTTCCCCTCTCCGCCCCATTTGCTTCCCCTCTCCGCCCCATTTGCTTCCCCTCTCCGCCCCATTTTCTTCCCCTCTCCGCCCCATTTTCTTCCCCTCTCCGCTCGAACCGCGTCCCCCTCCTCCTCTAACACAGATGGCGCGGCTTGCTGGGACAGCTTGCAGTGACCCTTCTTGCAGGAGCAGACTCAAAAGTCCCCCCGGTATCTTCTCCCCTTCGGCCCCTTCCCCTCTCGTCTTCACCACAGCTGGCGCGGCTGTTCGACCTGATTGCTCGCAGGGAACCCTCAGCGCGAATCCACGTGCTTGCTCGCTCCTGTCTAGTCTACTCCCCCATCCGCTTCCCCTCCCCCCCTCTCCCTCCGCCCCTCCCTCTCCCCTCCCTTCACTTCACCACAGCTGGCGCGGCTGTTGGACCTGATAGCTCGCAGGGACCCCTCAGCGCGAATCCATGTAATTGCTCACTCCCACGGAGGCAACGTGCTTCTTAAAGCCATCGAGCTCGTGAGTGCTGTTCAAAGCCCAGAAGTTAGCTAAAGCCCAGGTTCAATCTAATTGGTGCAACGTGCTGCTCAAAGCCATCAAGCTCACATCCCTGGTGGTTAGAGCTTAAAGCCCAGATCTAGAATCGGGCTGGGTGGAACGCGCAGTTAAAGCCCAGGTTCAAGCAGCATTCAATAGCTGCTCGTTAGAGCCTGGGCCTTGGTTGGAATTTTGAAGGTGATTCAAAAGTCAACCGCATGGATGGAGGCAACGTGGAGCTCACAGCCGCAGTCAACTCCCCCCCACACAGTCAACTCCCCCCCACACAGTCAACTCTCCCCCACACAGTCAACTCCCCCCCACACAGTCATCTCCCCCCCACACAGTCAACTCTCCCCCACACAGTCAACTCTCCCCCACACAGTCAACTCCCCCCCACACAGTCGACTCCCCCCCACAGAGTCAACTCCCCCCCACACAGTCAACTCTCCCCCACACAGTCATCTCCCCCCCACACAGTCAACTCCCCCCCACACAGTCAACTCCCCCCCACAGAGTCAACTCCCCCCCACACAGTCAACTCCCCCCCACACAGTCATCTCCCCCCCACACAGTCAACTCCCCCCCACACAGTCAACTCCCCCCCACACAGTAAACTCCCCCCCACACAGTCAACTCTCCCCCACACAGTCAACTCCCCCCCACACAGTCAACTCCCCCTCACACAGTCATCTCCCCCCCACACAGTCAACTCCCCCCCACACAGTCAACTCCCCCCCACACAGTCAACTCCCCCCCACACAGTCAACTCCCCCCCACACAGTCAACTCCCCCCCACACAGTCAACTCCCCCCCACACAGTCAACTCCCACCCACACAGTCAACTCCCCCCCACACAGTCAACTCCCCTCCACACAGTCAACTCCCCCCCACACAGTCAACTCCCCACACAGTCAACTCCCCACACAGTCGCTCTCCACGCTGCACCCGGGAATGCAGCAGGACTGGCGCAGTTGGGTGATACCAGAAGTGAAGGAGCACTAGCAGAGCCCACACAGAAGTGAAGGAGCACTAGCAGAGCCCACACAGAAGTGAAGGAGCACTAGCAGAGCCCACACAGAAGTGAAGGAGCACTAGCAGAGCCCACACAGAAGTGAAGGAGCACTAGCAGAGCCCACACAGAAGTGAAGGAGCACTAGCAGAGCCCACACAGAAGTGAAGGAGCACTAGCAGAGCCCACACAGAAGTGAAGGAGCACTAGCAGAGCCCACACAGAAGTGAAGGAGCACTAGCAGAGCCCACAACTGCACCCTCCCTCGCCTCCCCCCCCGCCCCCGCCAGTACATGAAGAGGCTGCCCACACTGTCTCTCTCCACGCTGCATCCGGGCATCAGGATCTGATCAAGCACTAACAGAAGAATCTTTTGAGGCGCCTCAAAACTCCACACTGCACCCGGGCATCAGGAGCTCTTCACTCTTCCTCTCTGCACTAACAGAAGAATCCCTCTCTGCACTCTTCCTCCTCCCCCTTTTCCTCCTCCCTTCCCTCCGTTCCCCCCCCCCGCCAGTACATGAAGAGCCCCCCCACACTGTTGCTCTCCACGCTGCACCCGGCCCTGCGGTGACGTTGACTCCAGAACACCACAACTGCGGTGACTTGGACCATGCTACACCAGAACTGAATAAGCACTAGTAGAGGCCCCATCTGCAACCCGCCCCCCCGTCCCCGCGCCCCACCCTACCCCCCTTACCAGTACATGAAGAGGCTGCCCACACTGTTGCTCTCCACGCTGCACCCGGGCGTGCAGCAGGATGAAGGCACCATCAGCACCCATCTGCACCCATCTGCACCCCTTCCTTCTCCCCCCCCCCCCCCCCCGCCAGTACATGAAGAGGCTGCCCACACTGTCTCTCTCCACGCTGCACCCGGCCATTCGGAAGCGCTTTTGGGCGGCATACAGGCGAAGATTTGATACGATCAAGAGGTGGCGGCAGGTGGACTGGCCTTCTGGGTGGCGCCTGTTCTTCCCATCCCTTGTGGTCATGAGGAGGTGAGGTGAGGTGAGGTGAGGTGAGGAGGCCTGTATAAGGGGGAAACTGCGGTTAGAAGCGGTTGGTGGCGGTTCTTCCTGGCCCTTGTGGTCATGAGAAGGTGAGGCGGCTTTGCGTTTGAAAGAGGTTGGCGGCGGTTCTTGCAGTGCAGGGCAGTGCAGGGCAGTGCAGGGCAGTGCAGTGCAGTGCAGTGCAGGGCAGTGCAGTGCAGTGCAGTGCAGGGCAGTGCAGGGCAGTGCAGGGCAGTGCAGTGCAGTGCAGGGCAGTGCAGTGCAGGGCAGGGCAGTGCAGGGCAGGGCAGTGCAGTGCAGTGCCTTCCCCAGGGTGAGAAGCTGCGGCCTTCCCTCGCCCACCCCTTCCTCTCCTCCGTTCCTGCCCCTGCCCCCCATGCCAGCATGACAGGCGGGAAGGAGCAATACCTCTGGGGGGGGGGTGCGATGCCGTTTCCTCGACTCCCTGCTGGACCTCTTCTCATCCCCTCCCTTGGATCTGTGCTCACGAAGAAGGGCAGCAGTAGGCAAGATCGCCTTTAGCAAAGGGACGATAGTCAACTAGTGAAAAAAGAAACCATGAAAAAATTCAAAGGAGCAGTACCCCTGGGGGGCCGCGATGCCGTTTCCTCGACTCCCTCCTGGGGCTGCCCACCAAGCGGCAGCGCCTCTTCCTCTCCTCCTTCCCTTTCACTGCCCCCCCTCTCACAGCATGACGGGTGGCAACGTCTCTAATCGCATCAAGGAGCAGTACCCCTGGGGGCGCTATCGCTGGCTGGACTCCCTTCTGGGCCTGCCTGTGAAGCGGCAGCGCCTCTTCCTCTCCCACCGCCTCGCCACCTCCCCTCTCTCCAACGCCCTGGGCTGCCTCGTGTTCCTGGGCACGCCCTTCTATGTCAAGAAGTGGGAAAGGAATGGAGTGCGCAGGCTCGTGCTGGCGACGGTGGCCAGTATTGTCGTGATGCTGGCTGTGATGTGATGTGGGGCTATGCCATGCTCGTCTCGTACGCCATCCGCAGCGCTGTTGCTAAACGAAGGTATGCAATGCACAGAGAGACCAACCAAGCAAGCAGGTATGACCCCCAGACCCAGAGAAGGTACGCCCCCATTTTGTTTGAGATTAGTTTTGAGAATCTCAGAGAGGTAATTCTCAAAACTAATCTCAGAGAGGTAATTCTCGAAACTAATCTCAGAGAGGTAATTCTCAAAACTAATCTCAGAGAGGTAATTCTCAAAACTAATCTCAGAGAGTTCCACGCGAGATCCGGACATGGCTCAGTGAGCTGCATGCGTGCAGTACCATCTCAGAGAAGGCACGCCCCCAGACTGGTGATGCTGGCTGTGATGTGATGTAATGTGGGGCTCTGCCATGCTCGTCTCGTACGCCATTCGCAGTGCCGTTGCTGAAAGAAGGTATGCACAGAGAGACCAAGCAACCAGGTATGACCCCCAGGCACAGAACACTCCCAGGCACGCCCCCAGACTTGTGATGCTGGCTGTGATGTGATGTAATGTGGGGCTCTGCCATGCTCGTCTCGTACGCCATTCGCAGTGCCGTTGCTGAAAGAAGGTATGCACAGAGAGACCAAGCAACCAGGTATGACCCCCAGGCACAGAACACTCCCAGGCACGCCCCCAGACTTGTGATGCTGGCTGTGATGTGATGTAATGTGGGGCTCTGCCATGCTCGTCTCGTACGCCATTCGCAGTGCCGTTGCTGAAAGAAGGTATGCACAGAGAGACCAAGCAACCAGGTATGACCCCCAGGCACAGAACACTCCCAGGCACGCCCCCAGACTTGTGATGCTGGCTGTGATGTGATGTAATGTGGGGCTCTGCCATGCTCGTCTCGTACGCCATTCGCAGTGCCGTTGCTGAAAGAAGGTATGCACAGAGAGACCAAGCAACCAGGTATGACCCCCAGGCACAGAACACTCCCAGGCACGCCCCCAGACTTGTGATGCTGGCTGTGATGTGATGTAATGTGGGGCTCTGCCATGCTCGTCTCGTACGCCATTCGCAGTGCCGTTGCTGAAAGAAGGTATGCACAGAGAGACCAAGCAACCAGGTATGACCCCCAGGCACAGAACACTCCCAGGCACGCCCCCAGACTTGTGATGCTGGCTGTGATGTGATGTGGGGCTATGCCATGCTCGTCTCCTACACCATTCGCAGCGCTGTTGCTCGCAAAAGGTGAGTCTTGAGTCTACTCAAATGTGGGTGCGGGGGAGTTATATCGGGATGCTGGCTGTGATGTGGAGTGGGGCTATGCCCAGAGCACTATGCTGGCTATGCTCAGAGCACCGGGGAAGGTTTTTGAGGCGCCTCAAAAACCACCTCAGTGATGAGTCGACTCAAAAGTCGCATCGCTATGCTCAGAGCACTGGGGAAGGTTCTGTCGGTAGCGAACAGGTGGGCTGCGAGGTGACTTTTGAGTCGACTCAATAGTCACATCGCTATGCTCAGAGCACCTGGGAAGGTATGCTGAGAGCATGCGGGATGTGGGGCTATGCCATGCTCGCCCCCCCCCTACTCGACATCATTGATCGCCTTGTTCCTCTTTTTGAGGTGCCTCAACTTTTGAGACGTCTCAAAAGTCGTCTCAAAAGACGTCTCAAAAGTCTTTTTGAGGTGCCTCAAAAAGGCGCCTCAAAAAAGGGGGGCTATGCCATGCTCGCCTCCCCCCTACTCGACATCATTGATCGCCTTGTTCCTCTTTTTGAGGTGCCTCAACTTTTGAGACGTCTCAAAAGTCGTCTCAAAAGACGTCTCAAAAGTCTTTTTGAGGTGCCTCAAAAAGGCGCCTCAAAAAAGGGGGGCTATGCCATGCTCGCCCCCCCCCTACTCGACATCAATAATCGCCCTGTTCCTCCAACCCCCCTTCTCCCCGGCCCCCGACCCCCCCAACTCACCGCCTTCCCCTCCCGCTTCCCCTCCTCCCCTCCCCATCCCCCTCCGCACTGCATGTTACCGCACTTAACCGCTTCAGTGTGGACGCCCCTTACCTGACGCCGTTGATCGCATCGGCACTCATTCTTGTCTTCGCCACCATCAGTGTCAGCATCGAGGTGCGCTCCCGCTGCACCGCGCGCATATTACCGCACTCAACCCAGAAGATGCCCCTTACTTGACGCCGTTGATCGCATCGGCACTCATTCTTGTCTTCGCCACCATCAGGGCGTGTCCCACTTTGGGTCAAGAGTACTGTCCATGTCATCCGAGATTCTTGGACAACCAATAGGGCGCATTTTGGCTACACTACTGGAATACCATTTGTCTTCCAAGAATCTCGGATGACATGAACAGTACTTTTGACCCGAAGTGGGACACGCCCTCCGTGTCAGCATCGAGGTGCGCTCCCGCCCGCGGCACCGCATGTTACCGCACTCAGCCCCTTCAGCATGGATGCCCCTTGTTTAACTTTGTTGATCGCATCGACGCTCATCCTTGTCTTCGCCACCATTCTCCACTTACTTGCTCCATTCCTTCCTCTGTACTTGCACTCCTTTTGACCATTCTCACTTACTTGAGAATGGTCTCACCCGTCTCACTCCTATCACCCCTCTTACCTCCTGCTCTTTTCACCCTTCTCATCACCCTAGTAACCCCTTGTGAGCCTGTTTTTTTCCATCCTCCGCCTCCCCATCATCTCATCACCGCACTGCACCAACCCTCCCCATCGTCTCCCCCCTCCAGGTGTCCCGCAGCACCGCCTTCTACAGCGGAAACATCTACCGCTGATTACCGCACTGTCTTATTACTGCAACCACTCATTATCGCACTGCACCACCCCTCCTTTACACCCTCCACAGGTGTCCCGCAGCACAGCATTCTACAGCGGAAGCATCTACCACTGATTACAGCAACCTCTTGTTACCTCTTATTACCGCACTGCACCACCCCTTTCCATCATCTCCCACCCACTCCAGGTGTCCCGCAGTACAGCCTTCTGTAGCGGAAACATCTACCACTCGCCCGACTGACCTGCTTTTCCAAGCTCTAACTCTCTTCTTATTGATGCAACCTCTCATCACCGCACTGTACCCCTCATCCCTCCAGGTGTCCCGCAGCACTGCCTTCTACAGCGGAAACATCTACCACTCGCCCGACTTTGATTGGTCGCATGCTATGTCAGCACTGGTTGTCCACGCTGGCAAGCTGGATGAGGTGAGATTGGATGCGGTGAGATTGGATGGGGTGAGATTGGATGAGGTGAGATATTGATTCTCACCTGCGTCCCTCACCCCTCTGTTCGACCCTCCTGCCAACTCTCCCCTCAGGCTATCGCCAAGTAGATGATGCGAAGACTAAAAATTTGTAGACGGGAGATGAGAAATGAGAGATGGGAGGTGAACCAGTTCTCATCTCCCGTCTACAAGTTGGGCCTGATGGGAGGGGTAAAGTGGGCTGGTGAACCGATCCCCGGCCTGTCAACTCTCCCCTTCATAAGGAACAGGTTCCCAGGCTGTCCCCGGCCTGTTCACGGGCTCTTCCCGGTCTCTTCCCAGGCTCTTCCCGGTCCCTTCCCGGGCTCTTCCCGGTCTCTTCCCGGGCTCTTCCCGGTCTCTTTCCGGGCTCTTCCCGGGCTCTTCCCGGTCTCTTTCCGGGCTCTTCCCAGGCTCTTCCCGGGCTCTTCCCGGGCTCTTCCCGGGCTCTTCCCGGTCTCTTCCCGGCTCTTCCCGGGCTCTTCCCGGGCTCTTCCCGGGCTCTTCCCGGTCTCTTCCCGGGCTCTTCCCGGGCTCTTCCCGGTCTCTTCCCGGGCTCTTCCCGGGCTCTTCCCGGGCTCTTCCCGGGCTCTTCCCGGGCTCTTCCCGGTCTCTTCCCGGGCTCTTCCCGGGCTCTTCCCGGTCTCTTCCCGGGCTCTTCCCGGTCTCTTCCCGGGCTCTTCCCGGGCTCTTCCCGGGCTCTTCCCGGTCTCTTCCCGGGCTCTTCCCGGGCTCTTCCCGGGCTCTTCCCGGGCTCTTCCCGGGCTCTTCCCGGTCTCTTCCCGGGCTCTTCCCGGGCTCTTCCCGGTCTCTTCCCGGGCTCTTGCCGGTCTCTTCCCGGGCTCTTCCCGGGCTCTTCCCGGGCTCTTCCCGGTCTCTTCCCGGGCTCTTCCCGGGCTCTTCCCGGTCTCTTCCCGGGCTCTTCCCCGGGCCCGCTCTTGCTGGTTGAGATTTCGCATCCCTCATCTTTTGGAACCAATTGTTTTCACACCAATACTTGTCTTAGAAATGCCGTATCAGTTTTGCCTCCGAAAAGCCATTGCATCTGTGCTGGCACCTCCCCTCCAGCCTCCTCTTCCCCTCTTTCCTGATACTCCTTCCTCGCTCTGTTTCCCCCTTCCTCACTCCAAAACAGGCCAGCCTGGCACTCAGTTCCGAGCCTATCGCCCAAGCCTATGTCTTCCCGCACCTGGCGAACATGCTGAAGCTGCCCTTCTGGAAGCCCCTCCACCAGTTCCCACCTCACGACGCCGTGCCTCTCGACTGGCTGCTCTACATCGCATCCTTCGGCTGCATTCTCCTCTGGAACATCATCTTCATCCTCCCTGCTCTCATCCTCTCGTTACTGTCACACATCGTGGCGCCGCTGGTGATAGGCGCGGTGAGGAACGTGATTGTGGTGATCAGCTTCGGGCTCGCGCAGAACGAGCTGAGCTTTGCGCATGTCTTCATGGACGAGATTCTTGACCTGGGGCTCTCCTCCCAACACGTGGAGCACTGGAACGTGCAGGTGAGGGACGGCTGCGTGGGTTGGGTGGAGGGGTGGGGTGGGTGGGTGGGTGGTGGGGGAATGGGGGTTCAGGAATCTCGACCTGGGGCTCTCCTCGCAGCACGTGGAGCACTAGAACGTGCAGGTGAGGGGATGGTGGGTGGGCAGGGGTGTGTGTGTGTAAGGATTTCCCTTGCTGAAGGCAGCAGAAACAGCAGGTACCTTAGTGGGCTGGCGCAGAACGAGCTCAGCTTCGCGCATGTCTTCATGGACGAGGCTCTCGAGCTGGGGCTGTCTTCTCGGCACTTGGAGCACTGGAACGTGCAGGTGAGAGACAGTTGGGAGGGGTGAGGTGGGGATGTAAGTGCTTTCCGTGCAGCATGCAGGGGAAGCAGCAGGGGTCTGGTGTGCTCTGCTCTCGGCTCGTGTCTTCATGGACGAGGTGCTCCACCTGCGGCTGTCGTCCCAACACGTGGAGCACTGAAACGTGCAGGTGAGGGATGGTGGGTGGGTGGGTGGGTGGGTGGGTGGGGATGGGGTGTGAAGGGATGGGGGCATAGAAACTCCCTTTGCAATTCTTGGAACGTGGGGTTGACTTCGTGGGGTGTGAGGTAAACCCCCAATTGTAACTTTTCACACACTGTGTGCTCAGTGACAGCTCAGCCGTAGGCTTGACAGCTCAGCCGTTGGCTTGACAGCTCAGCCAAACCCGCCCTCCTTCCCCATCCCTCCCATCTCCCTCGTTCGCTCCCTTCTCCTTCCTCCCTCCCTCCACCTTCCGACTCCCCTTCCCACTCCCACTTCCCTCCCCTTCCCTCTTCCCACCTTCTCAGAAACTTCTGGCACTGGCAAAGACGCGCTCTCTACAGGGGGAGCTGATGGCGGGGTATGAGGATGACACCTGTGACATGGGGGAGGCGGTTTTTGAGGCAGGGCTACTCGGGGAGGGGTTATCTGAGGAAGGGGTACCTGGAAAAATTGTTGATGGGAGGAATGGGGAGGGTATGAAGGGTGAGGGAAGAGGAAAGGGTAAGGGTGTTGAAGGGACTGGGGAGATAGATTCAAGAAGGGATGGGGAAGGGGAAGGAGAGGGTTGGAGGAATGGGCGAGGGGTGCAGCAGGTAGGGGCTGGTGTGAGTGGGGTGGGGTCAGCAAGACAGGAGGTGGCAGAGAGGTGTTTTGAGTCGACTCAAAACACGGCTGGTGTGGGTGGGGTGGGACCAGCACCAGGTGTTGGGGCAGCAGCACCAGTAGCATCACAGCAGGAGTCAGCTGTAGCAGGTACAGAGGCTATAGCAGGGTCAGCGGCTGTAGCAGGGGCAGCGGCTGTAGCCGGGGCAGCGGCTGTAGCAGGGGCAGCTGCCGTAGCAGGCAGCAATGGGGCAGGGGAGGAAAAGGACAAAGAAAGTCGCTACCGCCCCGTTTTAGAGCCGTCTTTCAGTGCCTCTGCCGGCCAATGGCAGCGCAGTGCGAGCCGGCTGCGGCGGCGCGTTACATTCAAGAGCGTGAGGACACTCGGAGACGATACCCGGGGAGATGAAACCCGTGCAGATGAAACCCATGGAGATGAAACCCGTGGACATGTAACGGCCGGAGATGTAACTCCTGAGCGTCCTCTCCTCCCACTCAGCACAAGTCAGGACTCATCCTCCGCTGACCCCTGTTACTCTCACACTCGGACACGTTGGGCAGAGCACCAATCTAAGCAGCCGGCAGGGAGAGAGGAGCACGATAGCACGACCAAGAATGGTGAAGTGCTGAAGAGAGGTGAGAAACGCGGCGCAGCTGAGAACTTGGGGCATGTCATGGGGAGTGTGAATGAGGGTGCAACAGAGGGGAAGACGCACGGGGAGGAGCAACTTCTGTATGAGTATTTATGGGATGATAAGGAGTTGGATGAAGCAGCTGCTAAGTGTCTTACTTACCAGTGCCTCAAGCCTGAAATCAAGAAAATGTGGCGGAATCCCCGACTGACCCCGGAGGAGTCTGTTAGGCAGATTAAAGAGCTGTGTGTGATGATTGAGGACCGGTTTAAGGAGCTCACAGGAAAGTTTGACCTGAATCACGGGGCGTATTTTCGAGATCCCCGGATTCTGGGGGTGGTTGCGCGTTTTCTGGAGTTTCGGGAGCTTCCGGAGTGGTCTAAAGCGATTGATACCGATGTAATGAGGGCTGAGCACATGGTGCATTCAAGCTGAGGGTGGCTGGGCTTGTGAGATGGCGCTGTTGCCGAACTGTGAGCTTAGCTTTGGCGGTTGCCACGATGAGGACTATTGTATCCATGGCGCTTGCCAATTGATGTGATATGAGGTATAGAGGGGGGTGACTGTAAATATGCGATGTATCGTCGGTGTGAGAATGTGTAGATGATGAAATTATCCCGGAGATATAAATCTTTGTTGAGAGGTAAATTTCACAATGTTTTACGGTAGTACAAGGTTCGGCGACTCATGTACATCGAATAGGATGCCAGTATCGCACGTAGTTGAGAACACTGCAGCAACGCAAATGTACTGTACACGTATCCTACCAGATTCGACAGCTGCCTTCTCCTTTGCAAGCTGCCACGATGTCGGCATAAAGCGCGGACGCCGCTGCAAACACGCGTCACACGAATCGAAACGGGACTTTCTGTTCACATGTTCACTTCACTTCACTCGCTCCAGCCAGTGATGATAGGATCCTATCGACCAATAAAAATGATTGCACACCTGCAAGCCCCTCTGCTTCCCACAGAGCACACAGTGCATTATGGTCCTTCCACCGTTCCTGAATCCTCCAAACACCTTTTTGTCACCTTGAGAATGCCCCCACACGGGAGTGAAACGGGTTGGGTTGGAATGGGATCCATCCATCTGTCCCTAGGGAATGTCTTTCACTCTAGGGCGGGGACCGCAATGCCTCGGGAATGGCGTGAGAGAGAATGGTGTACAAATGATGCCCAACCCCTGCACGCGAAATTGCCTTGGACATTCCAGAAACCTTGCACCCGTGAGTTTCCTGCCGCAAAGTTGCACCTACGTTACAGGCACGTTGACCAATACGAAAGCCAGAAACGGAAGTCTGACTGATGAGACTGCAGTAAAAAAGTCAGCGGTGAGCTACAAATTCTTTTATAAGCCCTTTTTGCCTGACGCGAACGAACGAAGCCTCCACGAAATGCAAGAATCACTTATAGGCCCGAAAGCCTCATCGGAATTCGGTCGTCGGAACGGTTTTGCCAGTGTCGTCGAGGGGGGTCGTCGGAGCCGAGAATGACGAGGCGGGCGACTGACGCGCGTGCGGGCCCACCAGCCTGGCCCAGGGCTGGGCCGAGCGCACGATAGGCCCATAGGGTAGGCCGAGGTCGGGGGGCTCAACCGGGCATCGTGTGTACATCGATTTGACAACTTCAGTGGATGTTCACTCACGAGCATTTCAGTCACGACAAAAAATGAGTCCTGCTTGCTCATACAGTACCTGCTCCTCAGCAACACTTGATATTTTGACTCGATTCATAAACAGCAGGAGGCGAAGAAGTTCTTCAAATACTTTTTCTTTCATAGCATCTGTAGTCCAGTAAATCTGGTCATATATTCTTAACCGCAGCTTTTGGACATTAGACTATCCCATCACTTGCCTTCTTTACGCAATGTCCGAGATAGTGGCTAACCAGCGAGGAGATTCAGCGTTGATCTTTCACGATCAGTCTAGGAAGGAATCGCGAAAGGGAGTTCCGATTCAGATTCACGAACCGGCGCTTCCATCGCCGCGTCGCGTGGCACCTTCTAAGAGTCCACGCGGGTCCGCGTCGTTTAACGTCTTCAGCTCCACGGAGTTGAAGGTCCCCAAATCGCCTCGTCGGTCAGTCGCTCCAGAAGTTACCTTCTCCAATCTCCAAGATCAACGTCATGATGATGACGACGGCGACGCAGTGCTTGCTAGGGTTGCTACGAACGACAGCATTAATAGTTTGCGGGCCGTTCGACCGCAAGCCACCCGAAACCAGGCCATCACCAGCACCGCAAATAAATTATGTAGTAGTTCTAGTACACGTACTAGCACGTCTAGTAATGCTACTGCACGTAGTAGTAGACACACTCGTACATATAGCTCTACCAGTTCGAATGCTCTTCCGGTGACGCATGAACAAGACGGTAGTCAAGACGGAGAATGCGAGCAACTGGGCGAGTCCGTCAGCAATGACGGCCCTGGAACCAGCGAGAGCCGGCTGACGCTTGGCGTGAATGTCGTTCAGACGACGCCTCCGACGACGACGAAGACGACTGCATCACTTGATCATGCCCCAGGTTCTCATGAAAAGATTAAGAGGCATCTCCCAGGGAAATCTTGCAGCGCGCATGAGGGGTCTGTGATAGTATCGCGAGAACGGAGAGGAATTCCCGCATCAGCATCCCGCGTCGCTTTTAGTAGCTCGGGACATTGTTCGGTTTACGACCTACAGGGGAGCGATAGCCGTCAGGAGAGTTTCAACCGACAAGAGAGCTATAGTAACCGTCAGAAGAGCTTCAACCGACAAGAGAGCCATAGTAACCGTCAGAAGAGCTTCAACCGACAAGAGAGCTTGAATGGCCACGAGAGTGTTGACCGTCAGGGTCACCCAGACGAGCTGCGTGGCCGTCAGGTTCGATATCTCCGTCAAGAAAGCTTCTCGCATGTGGAAACCCGACAGAAACCGCTTGACCGTCAGGAAAGCACCGGTCGTGAGATTGGTTATCGGCGACTGGCGAGCTTTCAGCGACCTCCTCCCACGCTACAGCAGTCGCAGCAGCACAGGAAGCGCGCATCTTTCCCGGAAATACACCTCGATTTGCCTAGCGGCCCTCCGCCGAACGAAAAGCACGGAGAAACGAGCCCTCGCACCAGCAGTAACAGCGGAAGCAGCGTCATCATCAGCAGCGGCAGCAGCAACGGCAGCAGCGTTGTGACCACCAGCAGCAGCGGCGGAGGCAGCAACAACGAGTTTGGTCGGCGGGCCACCAGCATGAACAGCCAGAACTCCGCTACCAGCGTTCCCGTTGATCTATATAATGCCGAGGTGGGAATCACATTATTGCCCGGCGCAGTTGATGCAGCCAAAGCATCAGCCGCGCAGGCGGCGGCAAGTCCGGCGGCGAGAAGGCTCCGCGCAGAGCCCGCGGGCCACCGTCGCGCGCAGTCCGACGCTGACGCCCTCACCGCCGCGGATTGGGCGCACGAGCGCTTGCGCTCGTTTAACATTCGGAAAACCGGCGAGGCGGAAGGGGTTTCTCCAGGTGGCGCAATTTCCAGCACAAGCGCAGCTTCCGTGGCGGACGCTCCCCATGCGCCCAGCCCGCGCGGGCGCAAGGTCTCGAGTGCTTTCGCAAGTCCCGCGAGCGGAGCAGTGGGGGGGAGAACGCATACCTCGCGCGGCTCTTCCGCGCGAGCGCGGCGGGCGAGCGCGGATGCGACGGACCTTGGGGGAGCCCTGTCGATTGAGGGGATGGCGACGGGGCAGAGTGACGGAAAAGTGAAGGTAGAACAGAAGGGAGAGGAGGACGAGATCTCGGAGAAGCAGCAGCAGCAAGAGGAGAAGCAGCAGCAGCAGCAGCAGCAGCTGCTGCTGCTGCTGCGGCGGCGACAGAAGAAGCTGGTCCAGGCGAGCTTCGTAGATCGAAGGACTGGAGAGACGGCTGGCCTTAGTCTTAGCCTCGGCGGGAAGGACAAGAGCGCGAACCAATGGCGCTCCGCCATTGAACGCTCGCCTGGCGCGGGCGGGCTTGTGTCGCCGCGCGTGGGGGATGCTTCCCCTGGGGTTGCCGGGGAAGCGATGCGATCTGCAGGAGACGCGGCCGTTGCGGAGGCAGGGAGCGGGGCGAGGGTGAACAGGAAGGACGAGTGGAATAACGAGAGGGTTGAAGAGAAGAGCGGGGAGGGGGTGAAGGTGGAGAGGAAAAGCAAGGAGAAAGGAGCTAGGCGGGACAGAGAAGACAGGCGGACGAGGATAGAGGGGGGCGATGGTGGGTGGAAGGGAGCGACGGAGAGGGAGGCTGAGGGAGGGAGGGAGGAGAAAAGGAAAGGGAGGAGGGAGGATATGAGGGAGAACGGAACAGAGGAGGGGAGGGAAGAAGGGGCGGAGGGAAAGATTGAAGAAGAAGGGGGAGGGAAGAGGGATGGCACTGGGGAGGAACGGGTGGGTAAACAAGGGGAGGAATGGAGTGAGGGCGAACAAGAGGAGACGGGAGATGATTTAGTTTACAGGAGGCCCTCACTCACCGCTGGTTGGCTGGGGTCGGCTGGGGAAAGTGGAGCAACAGCAGGGGAAGGTGCGGCAGCAGCAGCAACAACACCACCACCAGCAGCAGGAATGGCAGCAACGGCTGCAGCAGCAGAGGCGTCACAAAACTCCACGCTCTTGCTGCTGAGTCCTCAAGGCAACCCGGCCATGCAGCAGCAGCAGCAGCAGCTCCTCTCAGCCCATCCCCCCGCCTCTGCCCCTCCTTCTACTGCTCCGTATCCATCATGGCAGCATCACTTACTCCATCCTCCATCCCCACTAGCACTTGGCGCCCCGTCTTCTAAACCGTTCACTCTAGCTTCCCCTCAAGCTTTCCCGCAGCAGCAGATCAGCTTCCCCCAAGTCAGCTCTAGCCCTCCTCAGAAACCTATGCCCACGCCTGTGCCCATGCCCATGCCCATGCCCATGCACATGCCCATGCCCGTGCCTGTGCCCATGCCTGTGCCCATGCGCGTATCCATCTCGAATCCCGAACCGTCCCACCCCTGTTGGCCAAACCCTAATTTGTCGAATCGTGATTCGCCGCACCTCTCATCGTCTCATCCACACTTACCTCCCTCCCTCCCTCCAGCACCAGGATCTCCCCACCTGCAATCCGCACACCTTCCCCCCTCCCTCCTCTACCAAACCTTCCCTTTCCACCCTCCATTCCCCCCCGCGCATTCCCACCCTCTAGCCCCCCCTTCGCCATTCTCCTTCCCTCTCTCCCCAGCGTCTCCCTCTCAGCTTCTGCGAAAAGTGTGGGATGCAGAAGGGGCATGTGATAGCGGAGAGTTTCAGGGGGACCTGTATGGGCTGGTCACGCCTGATGCTGAAGATTTGCACGAGTCTTGGCCTGCTGCTGCTGCTGGGGGTAGCAAGGCGCCCCAGGAATCTATGTCTGCAGCTGTGGGGGATAGCAAGGGGAGAGAGAGAGTAGCAGGCGGCGAGTCTTTGGAGGAAAGTGATGGGAGTGTGGCAAGTATTGCGACGTCGCAGAGCTCTCGAAACTCAAAGGATGGGAGTGCGTCGAGTTATGTAGTTGCAGAAGAAATGGAAGGGGCAAAGGAATCAGAGAAGGATGAGAGGGAAGAAGATGGGGAAGTGGCTTTAACGGTGTGTAAACCGTTGGGGAGTGATGGGACGAGAAGTGAGGTGGTGGTTTATCAGCAGCAGAAGATACAACAGCAGCAGCAGCAGCAGCAGCAGCAGATGATGATGATGAGTGTGAAGAAGGTTCAGCACTTGCAAGTGCAGCAGATGCAGCAGGTGCAGCAACAACAGCAGCAGCAGCAACAACAACAACAACAACAACAACAGCATCATCATCATCATCATCATCATCATCATCATCATCAGCAGCAGCAGCAGCAGCAGCAGCAGCAGCAGCAGCAGCAGCAGCAGCAGCAGCAGCAGCAGCAGCAGCAGATTCAGCACCCACAGATACAACAGGTGCAGCAGCAGCTGTTACAGCTGCAGCAACAACTGCAGCAGCTGGAGCAGCAACATGGCGTGCAAAGCATGCAGCAGCCGCCGCACACTTCTCAGTCTGTCATTCCTGCGGAACCCTTCAACTTCACTGTAAATGCCACCACCATGGGTGCATCATCTCCCCGTTCTCTCCATCCTTCAGTGCATCCTCCTCCCCACCCTTCGTTAAGCATGTTCCACCCTCCCCTCGACACCTCACTCTGCGGCGTTATCAGCAGTAGCGGCGGCGGTAGTACCACCACCACCAACGCTGCTGCTACTACCATTCCCACCACTGCCACTGCCACCACAAGCAGCAGCAGCAGCAGCACCAGCAGTAGCCACAAGTTCAAGCAAGCACCAAGCACGTCCAAAGCACCTCACACACCTGGAAAATCTCCTGGCACTCCTAAGGAACCCTCCTCGCAGCTTCTCCGCCGTTTGTGGGCGTCTGCAGAGGCCATCCCAGTGGATCATCTTCTCAGCAACGAGTCACTCCCTCCTCCTCCTTCTCCTCGCAGCAACCAATCTCTCCCCATTCCTCCCTCTCCTCGCTCTCACACTCCCCACTCCCCCCACCCTGCTGTTCCATTTTCCTCCTCTGTTGGCGTTCTCTCTCCCCCTCCTCCTATTGGTCGGGCCACGCCACGTGGCAGCAGGAGATTGTCCGTGGAGGTCCCAGCTTGTCAGAGCGAAGATATTGACTCGCGTAGGACACCCAGGGCAAGTACACCCAGGGAAGGTACACCCAGGGAAGGTGCAACCAGAGTAGGTATACCCAGGGCAGGTACACCTAAAGAAGGCACAACCAAGGCAAGTACACCCAGGGCAGGTACACCCAAAACAGGTACATCCATTTTCAGCTCAACCAATCCCAAGGGTGAGGCTTTAACTCCTAGAATGCGGAGCCAAGGAAACAGATCCTTTAAAGACTCTGACTCGTTTAGAGTAAGAGATGCTACAGGACGGCCGCAAAAGTCGGACAGTATCGAGGCTGGGGAGCCTGCAGCTGCGAAGGAAGTAGAAAAGGAAGCAGAGAGGGAAAGGGGGGGAAAGCATGAGACAGCAAAGGCGAGAGGGAAGAAGAAGGAGGGGGAGGGCGAGGAGCAAAAGAAAGAGGAGGAGGAGGATAGGATGAAGGAGGTAGAGCCGGATAAGCCTGATAGGCCTGATACGTCTGGGAGGCACCTATGGTCCCAATTGAAGGATCGCTTGCGAGTGCGGTCTTCAAATAAAAGCATGGATGCCATTGCATTCTCGCCTCTCTCTCTCCCCCCTACTGACCCACACCACACCATTCCTCTCTCCCGTTTGCTGCTTTCCCCGCGTCATGCCCCACTCCCCCCCGACCAACCCGCTACATCCCTGCTTCCAGCACCTGACGCCCTTTCTTCTGCCCCTTTTTCTGGCCCCACGGAAGGTGTTAATGCTGCGCATGTGAGTGGCAGGAGCAGCGGCAGCAGCAGCAGGAGGTTGGTAGCCTCTGCTTCCTCTCGAAGCCTGAAGCAATCAGACAGTTCTGGCCCCAGAAAGAACAGTATTTCTGGGCGTGACGTTGAAGAAGGTTCCAGGAAGGATAGTAGGTCAGACACTGCTGCTGCTGCGGGTGCTGTTTCTTCTGCTGCTGCTGCTACTTCAGCTGGTTTTTCTGTTAATTCTGCTGTTGGCGCTGGTGCTTCCAGTGTTGCTGCTGCTGCAGAAGCAGCATCTAGGAGGCACAGGCGTGCGAAATCAGCTGTTAGTTTTGCGGTGGGTGATTATATCGAAGCAGCGGTGAAGGGTGTGGGATTGAGCGACAGCGAATCAGATGTGAGAATGGATGGCAAGGTTGAGACCAGCACACGTGGCAAGGATGAGACCAGCACACGTGGCAAGGATGAGACTAGCACACGTGGCAGGGTTGAGGAGAGAGGGGGAAAGAGAGGTGGGGAGAAAAGTGGGGAAAGAGGGAGGGGACGGTTGGGGGAAAGACAGGGGGAGAGAGGGAAGGAGAGTGGTAAGGAGAAAGAGCAGGAGAGGTATGATGCAAATCGGGGGGTTGTGCAGCAATGGGTGTCAAGCCTTGTTCCTCTGAAAGGTGGAGATGATGAGGATGAAGGAGACGAGGGGGGTGAGGGGGATGATGAGGATGGGGGGAGAGTGATCGTGGTGCGAGTGGGGAGTGCAGGTGAGGTGGCTAAGAGCAGAAGCCCTAGAACTCCTGGGAAATCTCCTGGTAAAAGCCCGACAGGGAGCAGGCGAAGAAGCCCCAGAAGTTTCAAGGAAGGGCAGGGCAGAAGTTCCAAGGGCGAGGCCTCGTTATTGGAGAACTCGTTATTAAGGAATCATACTGATGACGAGAAAGAGCAGCAGAGGCGGCGCCGGGAGCGGCGGCTGCGGCAGCTGCGAGTGGGGAGGCGGTCGAGAGGTGCGGATGAGGAGATGTGCTGGGTGGAGGAGGGAGATGAGGGGATGGAGGGGTTGGAAGGGGAGACGGGGATAGGAGAGAAAGGGGGAGGTGAGAGGGGGAGAAGCGAGTGGAAGGGAAGTGGCAGGCAGGCAGGTGCAGCTGAGATGTTGCTGATGAGGCAGTTGCAGGAGAGGGAAGAGGATGAGGAAGGAGACGAGGGAGGAGATGGGGGAGGAGAGAGGGGGGGAGAGAAAGATGGAGGGAGAGAGCAGAGGAAGAGGGATAGTTCCCGAGGCAGAGCTTCTTTCAGGGAGATCGACAGCTGGGAAGGGAGGGAGGAAGATGGAAGACGCACGGAGGGAGGGAGAGGGAAAGGAAGCAGGGAAGGAGGAGGGAACGAGGGCAAACAGCAGCAGGAGAAGGAGTGTACGGTATCTGACAATGGAGGGGGGAAGCAACCCAAAGAGAAGGATGAGGTGGAGTTGAGAAGAGCACGGGATGGGGAAGAAAAGGAGGGTGGGGAGCGGAAGGAGGGCGGGGAACGGAAGGAGGGCGGGGAACGGAAGGAGGGCGGGGAACGGAAGGAGGGCGGGGAACGGAAGGAGAGGAGAGGAAGGAAAGACGTCCTCTCAAAGCTCTCCAAGCGAGACAGTGCCTTGGCTCGCAGCAACGAGAAGGTATACGCCACCATGCGCCGCTCTAACGATCTCAAATCCACCAGCGGCGGTGACCCCTCTGATCCTCTTATCAAGCCCTCTGCTGCTGGAGCCCTCGCAGGCTATGCAGCCTTTGATGCATCCAAGGTTCGCGGCGCGATCACGCCGGGAAGGTCCCGGGGGAAGGGTGGCGGGACCTCGTTCCGGGCAGCTGAGAAAAGTTTGCTGCCCGATTTTGAGACGACGGTGATGGATTTGAAGCTGGATTTGAAGGCAGCAGCAGGTGCGGGTGCAGGCGCAGGCTCGTCTCGCTTTGAGGATCATCGGCAGAAGCTGTCTGCTTCAGCTGCTGCTGCCGCTGCCATCGCTGCTGCTGTTGGTGGTGCTGCTGGTGGTGGTGGTGTTTCTTCTGCTTCTGCTGTTGCGACTGGTACCGAAGTCTTGAGCAGGAGCAGCCGGGCGAAGAGCCCTTGGCGAAGCTCCAAGGACAGAAGAGGGATGTCTCAGGGCGACCTGCGCTTTGACCTCACAGCAGACCCCCTTGGGGGCTTGGATAACGCCTCGGTGGGTGACACTGGGGGGCTGGGACGGGGAGGGCGGGGGCGGGTGAGAGAGGGGGGGGTTTCGAAAGTCTGGTGAGAGTGTGGGGAGTTTGACTGTGGTGGTGAGCGGGAGTGGCAGGGAGAAGGCGAGGGAGAAAGGGCGGCGGGTGGGGATGGAGCGGACTAAGGAGGAGGAGAGGGAGAAGGAGAGGGAGAGGAGCAAGGACAGGGGGAAATCATCCTCTGTTGCACTTGCAGCTGATAATAGTCAGAGCAGGAGCACCCCAGGCAGAAGCAGCAGCAAGGATGGCAGCAACAGCAGCAGCCATGGCAGCAACCAGAACCTCAGCCCATTACGAATTGAAATGCCTGTCTCGCCCCATACCCCGCCATCCTCGGGCTTTAAATCCGGTTTTTTATCGAGCATGCTGTCTCCAAGGGGAATCATAGGCTCCTGGCGGCCTACCAAAGTGGGGCTTTTAGGCGGGGAGATTTGCTCTCTGCAGGAGCGGTACTTAGTTAAGCAGGAGATTGGGAGCGGTTCGTATGGGATGATCCGGGCTGTGCGGGAGAAGGAGACGGGGAAAACGTGGGCGTGCAAGAGCATTGGGAAGGATCAGATTCAGGTGTGTGTGTGTGTCGAATCGACTGATTATGAGAGGTGGGAGTGAGGGAGAAGGAGACGGGGAAGACATGGGCATGCAAGAGCATTTGGAAGGAGCAGATTCAGGTGCGAGAGAAATACAAGGGTTGTTTGCCCGAGTTACTCCAAAACCCCCATTTACCAGCCCACGCAATCCTCTATCCCTGTTCATCCATTCACTCGCTCCCCTCGTTGCCCATCCCCCCACTCCCCATTCCACGTCTCCCTCAATCCCCCATTTCCCCATTTATCTGCTCCCCCACTCCCCCACGCCTCCCTTCATGCAAAGGTAGCTGAGGCAGGAGGTGGCAGTGATGCAGCTGGTGCGATTTTGGAGAATTCTCAAAAGTCGCACCAATATAGCTGAGGCAGGAGGTGGTAGTGATGCAGCTGCTGAAGGGGCATTGACTCTCTCCCTCCATTCTCCCTTCCCCCCGTTCCCCCACTCCCTACTCTCCCACCACCCTCACAGACCAAGGCAGTAGTGGCAGCGTTGCAGCAGGAGGTGGCAGTGATGCGGCTGCTGAAGGGGCATTGACTCTCTCCCTCCATTCTCCCTTCCCCCCGTTTCCCCACTCCCTACTCTCCCACCACCCTCACAGACCAAGGCAGCAGTGGCAGCGTTGCAGCAGGAGGTGGCAGTGATGCGGCTGCTGAAGGGGCATGCGCACGTGGTGGAGATGAAAGAGACAGTGGAAGACGACACGGTATGTGTGTGTGGGGGGGGGGGGGAGGGGTGATTGCGTGTGCGTGTGTGTGTGTGTGCATGTATGGCATAGGGGGCTGATGATGTGAGGGCATACTCTTGTGGTGGAGATGAAAGAGACAGTGGAAGATGACACGGTATGTGTGTGTGTGTGTGTGTCTGTGTGTGTGTGTGTGCGGGGGTATTTGTGTTGCATGATAGGTGCGTGTATACCCTAAGCCTTCCACCCTAGAAGCCTTACACCATAAAGCCCAAACATCCGCCTGTGGCGGAGATGAAAGAGACTGTTGAGGTGTTTGTGTTGCATTGTAGGTGCATGTATACCCCAAACCTTACACCCTAACCCCAAACATCCACATGTGGTGGGGGCCTCTTAAATCACATCAAGCAGTCAAGACGACCTGTTTTCCCTCCTACTCTCCTCCCCCAATCCCCCCACACCACTCCCCTCCCCCCCCACAAGCAACATGTGCACATAATCATGGAGCTCTGCAAGGGCGGGGAGCCTCTTTGACCGCATCAAGCAGCGCAGCCGTTACGAGGAGAAACCTGCAGCCGCTGTGCTGCAGCAGCTGGCGCTCAATCCCTCACCCTTCTTCCCCTCGAGATCCGGACATGACCTTCACCCTCACTGAGCCATGTCCGGATCTCGCTCAAACCCTCACCCTTGTTCCCCTCTCCCTGCCTCACCTTTTCTCCGTTTTCTCCTTCTTTCGACCCTCCTTCCTTCCTTCCCTCCACCCCCCCCCCCCCCCCCCCCCCCCCCACCAGCACGTGCACATAATCATGGAGCTCTGCAAGGGAGGGGACCTCTTTGACCGCATCAAGCAGCGCAGCCGCTATGAGGAGAAACCCGCAGCTGCGGTGCTGCAGCAGCTGAGTCTGGTGCTGCGGGCGTGCCACTCCCTGGGAGTCATGCACCGCGATGTGAAGCCCGAGAACCTGCTGCTCTGCTCCCCCACTGATGACGTCGCTGTCAAGGTCACGGATTTTGGGATTGCTGCTACGATCAAATCAGGTGAGGCATTGGGGATTGAGCATTGGGATCGCCCTCACCATCTCTTTCACATGGCAGCACCCTTTTCTCACTCGCTCCTCTCCCAACCCCCTTTCCATCCCCTTCTTGTTCCTCCCTCCCTTCTTGTTCCTTCCCCGTCCTTCTCCTCTCTCCTCCCTCCCAGGCGCCAAGCTAACGGAGTTCATAGGGTCCCACATGTACATGGCACCAGAATTGATCAACAAGAGCTACAGTGCCGAGGCCGACATCTGGTCTGCGGGAGTCGTCCTATACGTCCTTCTGGCCGGCGTGCCGCCCTTCTGGGCCTCCACAGAATCGGGAGTGCTGGATGCAATCGTATCCAAGCCCCTCAACTTCTCCTTCCCTCCATGGCCTTCTATATCCCCGGAGGCAAAGGACCTTATAAAAGAGATGCTTAAGAAAGACCCGGCGGAGAGAATCACACTGGACGCTGTTCTTGGTGAGTTCCCCTTTTGCTAAGCACATCTGCTCTTTTACTGACCACTCCTTTAGCCAAGTTTCTCCATCATTCAACCACCCTCTAGGCATGTGTAACTCTAGGTTTACCTATCCCTGAGCACTGCTTTCATAGTTTACATACCCTCGTCATCGTTTTTCACTCCTTTGTCTTCCCAACTTTTCCAACGCTCACCTTTTTCCTACCTCTCCCCCTCTGTTTCTTCCCTCTCTTTCTCCCCCTGTCACGACAATTCCCCTCTCTCCATACGTACGCTCCATGATTCCCCATTTCAGAGCATCCGTGGATCAAGACTCATACTGCACACCCGTGATACCCTGTCCATTCATTTCTTAAGAGTCAACTAAGAAATCCACCACAATTCCCATCTCTCCATACATGCGCCCCATGGCCCCCCATTTCAGAGCATCCGTGGATCAAGACTCATACTGCACACTTGTGATCCCTGTCCATTCACTTGTCCGCACTTTGAGTTACTTGCAACCTTGTGTATTTATCCATGTCAGTTGACACAGCAATTGTTATTAGTAAACCCCACTGCTCCAAACCCCCAAGCCCCCCTCCTCTGTCAAAGTATATATATGCTATATATGTTTAGGCTGTAGTGGGGTACCCAATATGGGGTACAGCCCCTTTTAGGGTTTCATACTTGTACCCAACCCTTCCATAGTTCATTCATTCCTCCTGCTAGATTCTGACATGGTTTCAAAGCACTAGGTTCGTAGGACCATTTTTGGGTTGCGAAGCAACCTATTACAATCATTATGTTCATTTTTTTCGTATTTTGTAAAATTTTAAATATGAAAAAATCAACGAGAACTACTTCTCTGTACTTGTTGTGATACGTATGTGGCCATGTGCTCCGTTCCGTCTGTGTGTTAACCTTTTGCCTACTTTGTGGCTGTGAATCCAACAATGCGTATATTAGTATGATGGTTTTAAATAATGATTGCATAATGCATGAAGGTGATGCATAGTAGAATGCATAATAGTATGGTACATGTTACTGCAGTATGTATGCCATTAAATGATAGAAATGCATGATAGTTATAAGACCTAAACAACTAGGCTACCGCATCCCCTGCCTAGCATGGGGGGAAGTCAATAGCCTAGCATTTAAGTCATACAACTATCATATGAATACAACACAATCTGTGTATCCCAAAAAAATGACCAGTTCTATCAAATCCCGTTCAAGTGGACACACTCACTGAGTGCGCAAAGAACGTTCTTGGAAATTATAGGCTGATCAAGTTTTTAAGACCCACAGACATGCATTGTCAATGAAATGAGTATAGATGAATACACACACACACACACACACACACAGAAACCCCAACTCACACCAGAACAAAGTCAAAACAATAACAATAGAAGGTGCAAAACAAAATCAACAAATATAATAAAAATGAATTCTGCAAATCACCACTACTCTTCCCACTTTGCAGACTGAACTTGGCTTTCTGAAAGGTGCAATATGATATTCGATGCAGAGGAAATGGGAAAGCAAAACAAGGGAGGATAGGAGACAAATGACACTGAAAGTGATGAAGGAGAGGGAAAAAAAGGAAGAGGGGAGAGAAGAAAAAAAAAATCTAAGTGTGGAGAAAATAGAAAAGAAAGCAAGGCAAATGAGGAGAAGAACATAGTAACCAAACAGAATGCAAGCAAATGGTGGTAAGAAAAAAAAATGATGAAGAACGATATACATTAAAAAAACAGAGCAAGTAATAAAACAGGAAACGACGATATACAACGGAGAGGGAGAGCGAGAGCGAGAGAGAGAGAGAAAGAGAGAGAGAGATAGAGAGAGAGAGAGAGAGAGAGAGAGAGAGAGAGAGAGAGAGAGAGAGAGAGAGAGAGAGAGAGAGGACGAAAGAGAGAGGACGATAGAGAGAGGACAAGAGAGAGAGGACGAGAGAGAGAGGACGAACGAGAACGAGAGAGATAGAACGAGAGAGAGAGAGAGAGAGAGAGAGAGAGAGAGAGAGAGAGAGAGAGAGAGAGAGAGAGAGAGAGAGAGAGAGAGAACAAGAGAGAGAGAACGAACGAGAGAGAGAAAACGAGACAGAGAACGAGAGAGAGTGAGAACGAGAGAGAGAGAACGAGAGAGAGAGAGAGAGAGAGAGAGAGAGAGAGAGAGAGAGAGAGAGAGAGAGAGAGAGAACAAGAGAGAGAGAGAGAGAACGAGAGAGAGAACGAGAGAGAGAGAGAGAACGAACGAGAGATAGAGTGAACGAGAGAGAGAGAACCAGAAAGAGAGAACGAGAGAGAGAGAGAGAGAGAGAGAGAGAGAGAGAGAGAGAGAGAGAGAGAGAGAGAGAGAAAGAGAGAGAGAGAGAGAGAGAGAGAGAACAAGAGAGAGGACGAGAGAGAGAGAACGAACGAGAGAGAGAGAGAACGAGAGAGAGAGAGAGAGAACGAGAGAGAGAGAACGATAGAGAGAGAGAACGAGAGAGAGAGAGAACGAAGGAGAGAGAGAACGAGAGAACGAGAACGAGAGAGGTAGGACGAGAGAGAGAGAGAGAGAGAGAGAGAGAGAGAGAGAGAGAGAGAGAGAGAGAGAGAGAGAGAGAGAGAGAGAGAGAGAGAGAGAGAGAGAGAGAGAGAGAGAGAGAGAGAACGACATGTTGCTCGGGTCGAAATGATTTATATTTATCTGGCTATCAAGGAAAAGAAGGTTAGCGTTCAAATCGACATAACAAGAACATAAGAAGAAAGGAGGTAAGAACGTTAATGAAATATGCAAATACGAGGTTGTAAGCATGCAAAACAGGAAAGAGACGATGAATAGTAGAAGAATGAGTGCACTCTAGTGAAAGCCCTAAAGCTAAAATATCTACAACAATCCTAGAACCTAAGCCTTAAACAACATGCGGCCAATACTATGTTAAATAACTACGATATGAGACTAAGAAATGGTATTCTAGCTTCTAATGATCTGATTTAGCTCAAAATGAGAGGTTAGGGTAGTTCTTACCTTGCACTAGTAGGTGCAGCGTGTCAGGCGGGGAGCTCAACTAGCGAGAAGGAGCGGGAAAGAAAGGGATCAGCAAACCCTAAGGTAGTCCTAGATTCGTCGAAATTTTTTAATTATTATGACGGTAGTACAATCAGAGCGTCGTGACAAAGTTCGAAGAAAGAAAGAGGGTTGAACTAGCAGAAATGGGGATACAAATAGCAAACCCTAGAAGAGTTGTACTCGCTATAGAGCACTGAGAAGAATTGAACGAGAAATGAAATGAGTATGAACGAAGTGAGTACAAATAGGAAACCCTAATTGGGTTGTACCCCCTATGGGATACCCCACTATAGCCTACACAAATAAGTAAGCTATATGTTCTGACACACCCCCATAGGCAAAGTGGGGGAGAACAAGGGGTCACAAGACCAGTCAAGCAAAGCAAAGCAAAGCTCAGGGTGGATCACAAAGTCACCACGCATTCCGAGCACAAGTGCAAAGGCCAGAAGGCCAGTTCACATGCAAGATCATATATAGAGGTATACAAGAGTCAAGTAAGCAAGAGCAAGGGTATATATATGCGAAGGTACAAGCAAGGTCAAGAGGAGAGCAAGTGAGGCAAGACAGGCACAAGACCCAACTGCGTGCAGCAACGCTGATGATCACAAGGCGCAAGTGCCTTGGTGAAGACATCAGCAGTGTTGGCCTCAGAGGCCACGTACGCAAGTCGCAACTGTCCACGCTGCTGTAGCTCACGAGCAAGAAAGTAGCGGAGAGCAATGTGCTTCGTTCTGTGCTCCAGTCGCTGCTCTCGACACAAGGCCAGCATGGCCTTGTTGTCTACGTACAGGACTGGAGGAGAACGAGGCTGCTCTCCAAGGTCGGTCAGCAGGTAGGTGAGCCAGCGTAACTCCTGTGCAGCCATAGCCCCAGCGTAGATCTCAGCCTCACAACTGGAGCCGAGAACAGAAGACGAGCGGGTAGCCCGCCACGAGACAGAGCCGGAACCAAGGCTGAAGGTGTAACCCTGTGACGACCGCTGCGTAGCCTGGTCGTCAGCCCAAGAAGCGTCTGCGTGCCCAGTGAGGACCACTGGACTGCGCCCTCCAAGCACTAGCCCCATGCCCGACGTACTGCACAAGTAGCGCAACACCCTCTTCGCTGCAGCCATGTGCTCTGGTCGGTGTCTCCCAGGAGCAACAAAGCGTGCGAGAATGCTAAGAGGGTATGCGAGGTCAGGTCGTGTGCAGGTCATCAGGTACATGAGGCAGCCAACAAGCTCTGCAAACGGGCCACTCGACTCTACGGACTCATCCGAAGGCAGAGCTGAGAGCGAGTGGCGAGTAGGCAGAGGAGTGGCCTGAGGCGAGGAGTACGTGAAGCCGAAGCGCTGAAGGACCTGCTGCACCATGTGTGACTGAGTCAGGGTAATGGTGCGGCGTGCTCTGTCCCGGGTGATCTGCAAGCCAAGGTAGCTGCGCAGTTCACCCAGGTCTGTGCACGTGTGTCTCTTCTGCAGCTCAGACTTCACGTAAGCGAGTCCAGCAGTGTCAGCTGTGGCAAAGACCAAGTCGTCGACGTACACGAGGATGTAGAACGGCGGCAGAGAGGTGTCGGTGCGCAGAAACAGCGACGGGTCGGCAGTAGAAGGAGCAAACCCAAGTGCCGCGAGCGTAGTCCTCAGTGTGTCGTGCCACTCACGTGGCGCCTGGCGGAGACCGTAGACTGGACGCCGGAGACTCCACTGGGTACCAGGAGGGAAAGACCCAGTGAAGCCAGGTGGGCGACGCAGCCAGATCTCCTCGTGCAGGCTGCCCTGCAAGAAAGCTGTGCTGAAGTCGAGAGAGTGCAGCTCGTAGTCACGGTGAGCAGCAACGTGCAGCAGAACCCGAAGAGTGGTCATCTTCGGGGTGGGGGAGAAGGTCTGAAAGTAGTCAACCCCCTGCCACTGACTGAAGCCACGAGCCACGTAACGCGCCTTGAAGACAGGCGGAGAGCCCGGCGGCCGCTTCACCCTGAAAATCCACATGCCACTGACGA